CCACACGATTCCTACGAAGCGCCTCCTTCATCTAGGTGCAATAATAGATTCTAATCTTTGCAAGGTTTATCTGTCACAGGAGTGCCGGATCAGCATCCGGAGGCTTGTCCACCAGGTTCGGAGAGAGAAGGTAGTTCCTCTGGTTCAGCTGTCTCAACTGCTGGGAAAGATGGTTTCTTGCATGGGAATCGTTCTGTGGGCCAGACTTCAATCCAGAAACCTTCAGTGGTTTCTCCTCCCTTTCCAGAAACGGAACCTCAGTTCACCCACAAGGAGGGTGAGGGTTCCTCACCACACCGTTATCTCTTCTGTAGTGGGCTTCATCCACAATGACCGAGGGGACCATCTTCAAAGAGCCTCTCAGGCTCACCTTGATCACAGAAGCCAGTCTGTTTGGTTGGGGGCGCCCATCTCCAAACTCATCTGGCACAGGGTCAGTGGTCCCGGTCGGATTTAGCTCACAACATAAATTGGCTCGAACTCAGAGCCATATACTTGGCACTCCGTCAGTTTTCCTCCCTAGTGGCGGGACAACATGTCCTGATTCTGACAGACAACGTGGCAACCAAGGCTCACGTCAACAAGCAGGGAGGGACCCGGTCATGGTCGCTCATGCTGGAGGCTTTGGATCTGGGTCTGTGGGCAGAGTCCAATCTGGGTTCCATCAGGGCGGAACACATATTGGGGAAGGCAAATCGACAAGCAGATTCCCTGAGCAGGATCACAGTCGACCACTCGGAGTGGCGTCTGGACCCGGCACTGTTCAGGGAAATCTTGATCAGATTTGGTCATCCACAACTGGATCTTTTTGCCTCCCCGATAAACTCCCAACTCCCCAGGTTCTTCACCAGGTTCCTGGCAGGGGGGGTGGAGGGAACAGATGTTCTCCGGTGCAAGTGGCCGGGGGGACTGCTTTACGCCTTCCCTCCCCTTCCATTGATACAGGCAACCATTCACAAACTAATTCAGGAACGGGCAGAAATAATCTTAATTGCTCCACATTGGCCAAGGCATCCGTGGTTTGCCGACCTTGTGGATCTATCGCTCTCGCCACCGTGGAGGATTCCCCCAGACTGAGTCGCTCTCAGCCAAGGGAATCTTCAACATCCAGATCCACAGTGGCTCCAGTTGGCCACCTGGCACTTGAGCGGGAAAGTTTAGCTAGGCAATCCTATTCCTCCAGGGTGATCTCGATGATCCAAGCCTCAAGGCGCTCCTCGACTAATAGAATTTATGATGCCACGTGGAAGAACCTTTGCACGTGGTGTGATAAGCAGCATCTCAGGCCGTTATCAGTCACCATTCCTAACATATTGGAATATCTTTTGGAAGGTATGAATAAGGGTTTATCACCTAGTACCATCTGCAGACAGGTTGCGGCCCTATCAACGGTCCTTACCTGCGACAACCTGGTTCCTTTATCGCAACACCCAGCAGTTAGCGCTTTTCTGAAAGGGGCGGTTAACGTTAGAACACCTGCGGTGCATCGTTATCCATCTTGGGACTTACCTAGAGTGTTATAAGCCTTGACTTCTCCACCATTCGAGCCCATCAGGTCTTGTTCATTTTCTTTCTTTAAAAGTGGCATTCTTAGTAGCTATCACATCGGCTAGGCGGATTTCGGAATTGGCTGCACTCTCAGGAGTGATTTGTGTACCTTTTTCGAGGATAGTGTGGTCCTTCGATTGGACCCTTCCTTATTCCAAAAGTCAATACCTGGTTTCACAGGTCCCAGGATCTGGTTCTTCCACATTTTTGTCCTAATCCGTCACATCATCTGGAGAGACAGTGGCATAAGTTAGATGTACGCAGGGCTCTGCGTCATTATGTTAAGCGGACCTCGGCTTTTTGCAAGTCAGAGGCCTTGTTCGTGTCCTTTCAGTTCTCTGCCATGGGTCAGAAGGTCTCCTCTTCGACCATTGGTAGATGGATCAGAGCATGCATTGCTCGAGCCTATCTCTTTCAGTCACTTCCAGTTCCTACATGCATCACTGCTTACTCGACACGCAGTGCGGCTGCGTCAGCGGCCTGGTCCACCCAGGCATCGGTTGAGGAGATCTGTAGGGCGACCTCGTCCTCCCCTTCCTCATTTGTAAGACATTACAAGATTGATAGGTTTGCAGCGGCGGATGCCTCATTTGGTAGGAGAGTTCTACAACAAGTAGTTTCTTCTCAGGGGACACAAGCCTAGACTTCCCCCCCCCACACCTGTAGGGACATGAGCAGCTTTGGTATGTCCCACTGGTGGATTCTACATTCATCATGCTGGAGAAGGGGCGTTGTCTTACCTGAACGCCTTTTCTCAGCATGATGATGTAGAATCCACACCCTCCCTTCATGGCAGTCTAGGCCAGGTCTTTTCAACCAGTGGTACGGGTACCACCTGTGGTACTTTGGCACCTGGCAGGTGGTACGCGACCATCCTAGAAAAGTAGTGGGGGAAGGGAATGAGCTGAACCGGTGGCAGCACCGCACAAGCCTGAGTGAGAGATGGCTGGAGCTGCAGGGCTGTCAGGGCTCAGCAGAAGCACCAGGACTAGCACCAGGCTCCAGCTGGGCTCAGAAGAAGCGCCGATCAGCTGGAATGTTGCAGCATCTCCAGGGTCTTGTGATTTACATTGATGCTTGGCAACTGATTCATATTTATGACGATCACAGAGTTCCAGGGTCATGTGAAGTGACCAAAACCTGCTGCAACCACCCAGCAGACGGGGGGAATAAAAACCAAACACCCCCACCCCACCCCCGCTGCCAATCCTCAACAGAAATGCTCACAACAATGAAAACCTCAGACTGGCGGGTGGGCAGGCAGGTGTCTTCCTCGGCTGTGGCTTGGGGGCACTTTTTTCAGTGCCATTGTAACTTCGAACAGTCACTAAACGAACTGTTGTAAGTCAATGACTACCTGTACTTTTATCACTTTTTTCCTTTTCTTTTTTTGGTCATCAAGTTTTTGACACCTTGCTAGGCGACTGGTGGTACTCGGATGTTGCCATATCCTAAAAGTGGTACAATGGGTGAAAAGTTTGAAAAGCTCTGGTCTAGGCAGGTGTCATGATAATTGGAGCCATTGCATCAGACTTCGTCATGGATGCTTCGCCTCATCAATAACTGGGAAGACACACCCAGAGGGAGATGTGGCTAAAGTTCTGAGTTAGTCTCATGTGAGCAGGAAGGCTGAGATTACCCACCGGTGGATTCTACATCATCATGCTGAGAAAAGGTGTTCAGGTAAGACAGCGCCCCTTTGCTTGGGGAAAATAGCCCAACTCCAAAGGTGACGATGATGCAGGTCATTGCTTCCAAAGTGGCAATTGGTCATCATGCAGATACAGTAGATATGTACAAATAGTATCTAACTTCTTATTCACCTACCTACTTGGATTGAATGTTTAATTGAATAGAACTGGAGGAGATGTTAATGCAATTTTTGAAGAATGTTTCCTTTTGATGTTATTTATGATAATCAGAAGTTTGGATTTACATTGGTCGCAAGCTCATGTCACTTACAGCAGGAATTTGTAGTTAGAGATGCTTGAAAAGTTCAGTTACAAAAAGGAAACAAATGTACAAGTGAGCTGCCAAGACCAGGGGTCCCCAACCTATGGGCCGCGGGCAGTTGTGGCCCTACTCACATGAGTGTCATCAAGGGTGATTCAACTCCATTCACACGGGCCTTGTTGCGGGTGCTTGCAGTCCCACTCCCGCAAACCTCATGGGTATTTGTGGCCCCACTCAGGTGAGTGTCATCAAAGTCAGTCGCAGCCCCACTTGTGCGAGTGTCACTGCAAATATCATGGGTGCTCAGGTGCACATGCACCTGGCCCTCCTACAAAATCATCCCCTCTTTCCCCTCTCATCCCCATGCCAGGCTGCCAATCCGGAAAAGTTGGGGAACTCTGGCCTAGACTAATATGCAGATTGGAATGCATTTAAAGTGGGGCTTTACTCCCCCCCCCAATATTTGCATTACAGTGCACAGGATGATTTTTTTTTTAAAGCTTATTTAAAAACATCCAGCTATAAATTCTGGGAAAAAATATTTGGAAATATAACCTGCAATGTACAATTTATTACAGAAAATGAATAATTGTTTGTATAATAAGTGTGGATTAGAATTTACGTCCCTACTTTTTTGAAATGCTCAAATAGCCTTAAAATATTTAAGACTTCAGCTCCATATCCATTTACTTTGAAATAAACTCCATTTAACTCAGTGGGTCTTATTTTTGAATTTATGTATAGAGACTAATGTTTTTAATTGCATTCTTTTACATCTGCATATCCGGAAATTTCACAGTAGTGTAAATCAATACAAATGCCTTTACTTCATAACCAAACCAATCTTAATATTACAGATAGAAGAGAATTTGAAAAAAAAAAACATCTTAATGAACTAAATCCACCCCTTACATTACTTCCCTCTTATATTATTTTAAAACTAAGGTTTTCATCTATGGCTGTTTTTTTTACTGATATATAGAACATACTGTTTTGATGCTAGTATAAATATACTGATTTGCACTTTTCCAGCCTAGGTTTGAAAAATATTTCAATGTTTAAATAAATATATTAATAAATGATACTGTAGAGTTTGTGCTGACTTTAAAAAGTTCTTATCATTTTGTAACTATCATATAATACAAGCTCTTATTTGTAGCTCTTAGACTTTGATTACTATTAGTAATCAGTTTGACTGATTTACGTTCATTGTCCTGGATGAAGAAGTGGGGAGCAATTTTGGACTATCTAGAAAAATCTGAAAGGACATCATTGGGAACTGTAGAGGGACTGTAGAGGAAAAAAAAAATCAATGTGCCACTTTTTTCCACTGAAGCTTCCACTGATCCCTCACTTTCATTCAAAAATCAAATCTGAATACAACTGTGCTTCAGCAAAGCAGTTACTTATGAATATCTAGCTATGATGGAATTTCAAAATGCCACACTAAACTTTGGACAATCTTGTTTTAACCATATTACATCTTTTGCCTTTTGCAGATGTCATCTTGAGCCCAAGGCAGCCAAAAATGTGTCTCAAGATGGGCAAGCCTTGCAGATAGCTACACAGGCTCAGGTTCTGCCTATGGAGCTGGGGATGCTGAACCCTCTGTCACGTTAATACATGTAGGTAAAGCAACTGATGTCATTCTTGCATTTCAAAGGATTTTAATTCTATAAAATCACCTTATTTCTGTACCTATTTTCCATTGTTTTAAATTTGGGTTTATATTCCAAATTTAAACTTTAATGTTCCTAAAATTGGTTCTTTTTCTAATAAAAATTCCTTTATATAGGAGGCAGTATCAAACTATGTGATATTTAAAGAACTTTCCCCATGCCCAAATGTGAGTAGCTTCTGCTTTGGAATTCAGTTGGCTAGCAATGCATATCTTTCAGTATTGAAGTGATATGATCAAAGTGAACTGCTTTGCAGGTGTACTTTGTATCAATGTAAACTTTTCAACTCAAGGTTTATTTATTAGTGTAAATTTCTAGGTTGCATTTTTGTCAATGATTCTTGTTGTATTACACGGATTAGCATATATTACATTGCAATATTTTAGATAGAATGTAGATAATTTAGAAATAGACACAGCTGACACACTAAATTAAATGCCAAGTTTTCCTTGTCATTTGACAATCCTTCGACAGCATATAGTTAAGGAACTAGCCCATACTGTGAATCAGATTTTTCAGAAGAATGTAACTTATTCATGAATCATTGCATTTCAATATAATATGGGTTCCCTACTGGCAACAAAATCTCCATACTTTCTTGATTCAATCTCAGGTTATTCATCTCTGCCATCTCACCATCTCATTTAGGCAATATTAAAGAGTGTCAACCAGCCATTTGAAGTTAGATTTTGTAAAATAGTAGAGATGAATGTCACTATTAACATTTCACTCCAGAGGATCTTTCCCAATGAGACTACATAAAACCAGGATAGAAACCTGAGGCACTTCACAGGTCCATTATCTGTGGATTCACTCACCTCGTACTATATGAACACAAACTCATAGGAAAGATTGGAAATGTTGCAATACAATGACTTCAAGGCTCAGTTCTGTCAGGTTGTTTAGAAAGATGCCATAATCAATAAGCCTAGAAATCCAATAAATTTGATGAAATTTAAAATCTAACCTCAAAAATATTATATCTTACAATTTGAGCTTGATGAAATAGCCTGTTCATACTGTGATATTTTACTCACGTTAAAAGATTTCTGGAAAAGGGAGAGAAGAAATACCTTCAAAGTACACATTTTAAAGCAGAGTTTAGTTGTTCTCCATGCATCAAAACATTAAACATGGAAACAAGTTTTCTATGCCAGTTCCCTTTCGTGCCTTTTCTTCTCCCATGGAATGTGATTGAATTTATTTATGGAGCTTTCCTGAAGATTTTAGAATTCTGGAAAATCAGTTCTAAAATCTTGGCAAGAAACTCCATGGAGGGAAAGGCATGCTTCAGTAGTATTTTTTTCTCTATAGAGAGTGATGAGTGGGACAAAGGGACAAAGCTAAGAACATAAGAAAAACAAAGATGACAAAAAACTGTCATCTCTCGCTAGCTTTGCATACAACAAGATATATAACTTTTGAGTTTAATGACTGTCTCCCTATCTTTCTCAGAAAAGGATTCCAGTTCCAGAATGGGAGAATCTGGGATTTCAGTGGCATAACAGACCAGACTTCTCCTCAATTCCCTCCAGGTGAAAAATTGGAAAGTCCAACACCAATTATTTTAATTAGTCAGAAGACCTTTCCTGAAGTTTCCCAAAGGAGCTTTAGTAGTGATTCCAGGGAAGAAATATATGTGGATTCTGACAGTCGATTGTTAACTCAGGAAGATTAGGATCCAGATAGCCTTAGTGATGCCAGCAAATCTGATGATGGTATCAACTTGGAAAAAGATAGGAAAAGCCAAAATGGCACCAAAATGTCTGAACAGGATCAGACAAGGGCTGAAAGTGCAAAGCTCTCAGTGTCCTATGACAAGACTTTCAGGCTTGATCCACTGTCAGCATCTTTCTATATGGGTGATGAGGCAGAAGAGATTGCGGTTCCTTCAAAGCTTACTTGAAACATACCTCCTCCTCCTCAAATAGACAATGAAGAACTTCCTTTCAGACAGCTGCCAAAGGAATGAACAATACCCATCTTTACTCAAATGGAAAAATGGTTATGTCACTACACCAGAGACTATCAGAACTAACAAGCTGTATCCACAAAAGAAATTACATCTTTTGTTAGGCAAGAGAGTTTTACCAAACAGAAGTCAAGCAGCAACATTTCTCAAAACATGTTACCAGATATCTCAAGTCCTCCTCTACTGAAAGATCTTGAGGTCACACGAGCAAATTGTATGAACTATAATCCTGAGACCCATTTCCTTCTTAAAGACAGTGAAACTGCCCTGGCACCCTTGGAAGCCATAATACTTTGTCAAACTCACCAGCTAGATGCTCCAGAAAATCTTTCTGGGCAGTTAGAAGACTCTGTCTGGAGAGTCTAATGTGGACACAGCCAGCACTGTCAGTTTGGTAAGTGGTAAAAATCTGCTGTTGTGTTCCCTGCTCAATGGTGCCTGAGCATCTGCTGGTTGTTACTCTACTGAAACTGTTTTCCACTGTTAAAACATTTTTTCACAGCTATCGTTGTACTAGATCTGCATGCCACACTGAAGCAAGCCAAGCTGTATGGGAGTATTACTGAAATTAAGCTTTGTATAACTCAAAACTGTTTCAGTGGCTTCCATTTTTGGTTCATCTTTTACTTCATTTTGATGTCACAGACTCATCCCCAGTGAAAGAACACAGGGCAGAAAACATCCTGCAGCCAAGAAGGCTCCACACATATTTGCACTACTCAGGTGACCCCTGAGGACACAGACAAACCTCCAAGTGGCCTCAACAACTCTCTAAAACAGTGGTTCTCAACCTTCCTAATGCCAGACCCTTTAATACAGTTCCTCATGTTGTGGTGACCCCCAACCTCCATCCAGCTGGCCAGGGGGGTATCAAAAACTTGACCAAAAAAAAAAAGGAAAAAATGGGAAAGTATAGGTAGTCCTCGACTTACAACAATTCGCTTAGTGACTGTTTGAAGTTACAACAGCACTGAAAAAGCGAATTATGATCATTTTTCACACTTATGATTGTTGCAGCATCCCCAGGGTCATGTGATTTACATTTGGATGCTTGACAACTGATTCATACTTATGACGTTCACAGTGTCCCAGGGTCATGTGATCAATGGCCAGGGGGCGTGGCCAGCTGATCACTCAGGTTGCAGAATGCCTGTGGGGGGGGGGGAAATCTGTGGGTCTCTGGGATGGGACTAGGGTGAGTGCCTGCCTTCCTTCCCTCCCTTCTCTCCCCTTGTCCCTTCCTTCTTTTCTTCCTTTCCTTCACCTCCCTCAGTCTCTTCCTCCTTCCCTCTCTCTCTTCCATTGTCCCTTCCTTCCTTCCTTTCCTTCATCTCCTGCTTAGTCTCTTCCTCCTTCCCTCCCTCTCTCCCATTGTCCTTTCCTTCCTTCCTTCCTTCCTTCCTTCCTTCTTTCCTTCCCCTCCCTTAGTCTCTTCCTCCTTCCCTCCCTCTCTCCCATTGTCCCTTCCTTCCTTCTTTCCTTCCTTTCCTTCACCTCCTTCTTAGTCTCTTCCTCCTTCCCTCCCTCTCCCATTGTCCCTTCCTTCCTTCTTTCCTTCCTTTCCTTCACCTTAGTCTCTTCCTCCTTCCCACCCTCTCCCATTGTCCCTTCCTTCCCTCCCCTCCCTTAGTCTCTTCCTCCTTCCCTCCCTCTCTCCCATTGTCCCTTCCTTCCCTTCCCCTCCCTTAGTCTCTTCCTCCTTCCCTCCCTCTCTCCCATTGTTCCTTCCTTCCTTTCTTCCTTTCCTTCACTTCCTTCTTAGTCTCTTCCTCCTTCCCTCCCTCTCTCCCATTGTCCCTTCCTTCCTTCTTTCCTTCCCCTCCCTTAGTCTCTTCCTCCTTCCCTCCCTCTCTCCCCTTGTCCCTCCCTCCCTTCCTTCCTTCCTTCCTTCCTTCCTTCCTTCCTTCCTTCCTTCCCTCTTTGTCCTTCTTCCCTTCCCTCCCTTCCATTGTTCCTCCCTTCTTTCCCTCTCTCATTGTTCCTTACTTCCCTCCCTCTTTGTCCCTTTCTCCCCCCCCCCCCCGTGCCCAGTAAGGGACAAGGGGAGGGGGATAGGCTGCCAGCGTGGCTGGGGGCTTTACTGCCGCCAAACCTGCCTGTGCACAGGCAGAGACAGCTCACCCAACTCACTTGCTCACTTCGCCGAAAGGCATGCCGCTTGCTAAGTTAGCAGAAGCTCCAGGATCAGCGCCGGGCTACAACTGATTCACGCTTCTGCTAAATTAGCAAGCGCCTGTTTTCTAGCAAGCAAGTTTGCTGGGCAGGAGCCAAGGAGAGCAACTACAGCTGCAAAAGCACGGATCAGCTGTAGAGGCTCGCCCCGATCCTGGACAAGAGGGAAGGAAGGAAAGATGGAAGGGACAAGGGGGAGAGGGAGGGAAGGAGGGACAAGAGGGAGGCGAAAGGAAGGAAGGAAGGGACAAGGGGGAGAGGGAGGGAAGGAGGGACAAAGAGGGAGGCGAAGGAAAGGAAGGAAGGGATAATGGGAGAGGGAGGGAAGGAGGAAGAGACCAAGAGGGAGGGAAGGAAAGGAAGTTCCAGCCAGGAGAGGCTTGCCAGCCCGGCTGCCGAGAAACAGAAGAGCACAAAGCCAAGGAGAAGAAGGTGGCGGTTTCCTCCTAAAGGGGGTTCCTTTTCTCCACCCCTTTCCTGGGTTTGTGGGGAATTTCTCGTCACCAACGCTGGCAGGTGCTGCTTCGAGCCCGCCGTGAGTTTTCTCGCCCCCTTTGCTTCTCCCCCTCCCCCGCTTTTGTGAGGATTGTGGCGCCCTTGGGAAGTCGATTGTGCTTTGAAGCTTAGGAGAGGAGAAAGAGTCCTTTCCTCTTTCCCTCCCTCTTGCATCAGCTGGCGCAAGTTCGGGGGTCGCCAGCTGACAGGTGCAGGAGTTGGGTGCTGCAGCGGCCTCCCTTCGCTGACCTGTGTGCACGAGAAGAAGTCAATCCAGTTGCTGCACAATGAGTCTCTGGGGAGGGCAGGGCCTTGCTCTGCGCCTGCGCTCTTCACGCGCCCCCTGCAGGGCACATTTGGTAGAGTTTGTGCAGACTGCCGCCAAGCAGCATATTTTCCACAAACAAGTGAGGTGGAGCGGAGGGGGGGAGGGAGAGAAGGCGGTTGAGAAGCCCTGCCTAAGACCATCAGAAATATGTGTTTTCCGATGGTCTTAGGCGACTTCTGTGAAAGGCTCGTGCGACCTCCAAAAGGGTCGCGACCCACAGGTTGAGAACCGCTGGCTTAGATTGTCCTGGATAAAATCTGTGATCGAAAGAATTGACATTGATACACAATGAATCAATGTCAGAATTTCTTACAATTTCAGGGTATTTAACCATGTTGAAGTAAGTACAATAAGTAGCTCTAAGATTATATTTGCAGGTATGAAGATACCTATACATACATTGTTTTTAACACATAGGAAATTTTTCCCATAATCTTTGCATGGTTTACGTGTTTTCATTGTGTACTCAGATCCTGTGAAGGCTTGTTTTAATTCCTGGATTTTGGTATGGTATGTTACAATCATCTTTAGAAATTATTTTCATCTACATAAAGAATATATGCTCAAGGGTAATTTTATGGCTTTGGAAATAAGCTAAGCTAAGATAAGATAAGATAACCTTTATTGTCATTTTTTACTGTGGGCATGACAACACATATCAAAAATGAAACTTAGTTGCCTGCTCTCAAAGTGAACACATACATGACACACACCTAAACATACTATATACAACATATGTATAGACCTGCATAACATATGAATATTAAACACTGTCCATCTTGAATATATAAAGGAAGGAGGAAGCTTGAGAGTTTACAAGGTTTATACTGTGTGGAACGAAACTGTGGTGGAATCTGGATGTTCTGCTTTGGAGCCCCCTCCTCCCAGAAGGTAACAAGGAAAACATGTTGTGAAGAGGATGGGTAGTGTCCCAAACAATCTTGTGAATCCTGCTCAAGCAACGCTTCTGTGCTATGACCTGGATGGGAGGGAGGGAACTGCCAATGATCTTTTCAGCCATCCTCACCACTCTGCACCACCTTCCTGTCTGAAACAGTGATGTTTCCAAACCAGACTGATGCTGTATGTCAGGAATGAAACTCTAGCCACCCATATGTGTGACTAAAGGGGCATATAAGTCCTAGTAATAAAAGAGCTAACATTTTAATTCACAATTAAACCACAATTTAGTTTAAGTTCTTGTTAGAGTTTAATAAAACTTTAACAGTTACATTCCAAATCATGATTGTTGCTATGATTGTTCCTCTGAAACAAAATTATTTGTTTTTAATAATTGCCAACAAGAACTATAATGAAAAGGGGTGAAAGAATGTTCCTCCTGTGCTACTTGCTCATGAGCCCAAGTGTACTGATCATTTCCATCAGTGTTGGAACAAACCAAGATAACATCACATGAGGTCATCACACAGAGGAGACAAACTAGACAAGAGCTTAGTACTGTATAATGATGTTATTTATTCTATCTCTGCAGATGCCCCTGGTCATTAGTCCTCAGGAAGGCGCCCTACAAATCCTCAGTTGTGCTCCTACAAGTGGTACACAATAGATAGTCTACCTCATGTGCTTCTTGCAGGAATTAATTCCATAATAAGCAACGCATACTGCCTTCTAGTTTTGGGGAGTTCAGTTTTCTTCGAACCCAGGTAACATGACTTAATTAAGAAAAGGAAAATGGAAACTATAGTCCTCACTAAATAAAATAAAATGTATTTAAGTCATGTGAAGTGTATCACCCTATGACAAATACAAGCAGTGTGACCTTTGGATTTACAAGGAAATGTCAGTCTTCTAAATCTGAACATTTTATCTTCTAAGGAACAGAGTTATCTTTGAGAGCATCATAACTCCATCACTAAGTGCTATGGTCATTAAGCAAAAAAATCACACGACCATGCAGGTCTTACGAAGTTACTGCCACTTCTATCTCTGGTTATTAAATGAAACATAACGTGACCAGGACTTGCAATTTTACTGCTGACTTCTCGGCAGCCTATTGTGAAGTGCACAGATGATGATCATGTGAACCATAAGTTAAGAATGTTTTCAAAATTGAAGCACTAAGTTGTAAAACATTTAAAAAAAACAATGACAGTATCTTTGTGGGGAAGAGTCAATGTATCCATTTTTTAATTCAGAAACCAAAGGAAATATACATACATTCAATATTTCCCTACCACCTTGAGACAACATCTGACATTATTTGTCTACAGCAAATGTCACAATTTGGAATATTCAAACTAAAGACTAGGATTCTCTCTGGCAAAAAAATTTGCTTGAAAAGGCAGCAGATTTGGGGCACAAGTTACCATTAAAAGCAAGATCTCAAAATGTCAGGTTACTATTGTCCTCATAAGAAAGTAACAACTTGTTAGATTGTTCTTGTAGATTGATCCAGCCTTGATCAATTTCATGCTGGCAGTAAATCCTTCATAACTCTATGCCAGGGGTAGGCAACCTCGGCTCTTTTATGACTCATGGACTTCAAGTTGAGGTCCATGAGTCATAAAAGAGCCGAGATTGCCTACCCCTGCTCTATGCCAACATGAAAGAACTTTAGAGTTTGGAGCATGATACATTTGGAAAGTGCCTCATGGGGACCTGTGTTACTTAGACCATCAGTCCAAAAGGAGAAGCTTGGCTCATAATTGGACTTCACCTCATGCAGTGTGATAGCAGACAGCAGAGGCAATATCATTTTGTCAGCTTCCTGGCAGCTGAACTTTGTGCCTGATCTGAATAATAACTTGAATCCATAGATTAACTTTAGCACAAAGGTGGTGGGTGGTACTCTCCTTGCCAGAGAAAGCTCAGGATATCAATGGTGGGAAAAATGATAGGCAGAGAAATTGGAAAAAATGGAAGAAAATTGCAGCAACATTCCCTGGTAAGTTCTATTTGCAGTTACCTCTATATTAGTGTGGTTGGAAGTAAAAAAACAGAATTATAGTAAAGTTAGCCCTTATTTAGAAAATAGAACTGTTACATTTAAAAGAATGCTCTTTATTTTGTTCCATCATATTTTTCTTCTTTGAAGAGCTGTTTAGGGTTTTACATACCAGTACCAATACAATCAATGTAGCTATATCACAGATTCCAAAATGTTTTTTTTTAAAAAATCTAGAACCCTTCCAGCCCAGAAATTATTAAGTTTAGTCCGTAATGCTGAGATTTCTTATGGTCTCCCATCCAAATGCTAATCAGATCTGAACCTACTTAAGCTTTTTTGAGTTCAACAAAGCCAGTTATGTGTTCCCATCTGCTTAGATTATTGTACAACCTTAGAAATAGTGGATGAATTACAGTAGTATAGTATTAATATTAATTTGTCAAAGCTGACATGACTTGGCTTCAGAGCACAGTACTAGCTCCTTTGCATTAAAATAGGGGCTAAGTGCTTCTCCAATAATAGGAGTTCTATTCTTAGATGGCATATCCAGGATAGATTTCCCAGTACACATAAAGGGATCTCTTCAGATCTATTAATAATATTGATAATGTGTCCTGTAATGCTGTAATGCTGTTTGGGTGCAGTACTGAATCTGCTTTAACCTATTCACAGTCTTGGAAGGAGTTCTGGTTAGCAAAGGGAAAATAGGAAGCAAATAGTTTAAGCAAACAGTAACAAGAAGTAGGTAGGCTTGAAGAAATATCTAGAACAGTGGTTCTCAACCTTCCTAATGCCGCGACCCTTTAATACAGTTCCTCATGTTGTGGTGACCCCCAACCATAAAAGTATTTTCGTTGCTATTTCATAATTGTAATTTTGCTACTGTTATGAATCGTAATGTAAATATCTGATATGCAGGATCAGACTCTAGATTCCAGAAGATAGAACCATCCAACAAAAGGAATTCCACAACTACGGGTAGTCCTTAACTTACGACCACGACTGAGCCCAACATTTCCGTTGCTAAGCAAGGCAGTTGTTAAGTGAGTTGCACCCATTTTACGACCTTTCTTGCTGCAGTTGTTAAGTGAATCACTGCAGTTATTAAGTTAGGAACACAGTTGTTAAATGAATCTGGCTTCCCCACTGACTTTGCTTGTCAAAAGATTGCTAAAAATAATCACATAACCCTGGGACACTGCAATCATCATAAATACAGGCCAGTTGCCAAGCATCCACATTTTGATCACATGACCAATTGAAGGAAAAGCAGCAAGAGAATGGAAGAAAGGAAAAGGGTTATAAATAAAAAATCAGAACCCCTGTAACATTTTGTGGATGAAGTGAGGGGTTATGTAACTACATTTTCATGGAAGTTTCCCAAAACAGAAGGATACGACTTTATAGCTGTCCCAGATTCCAGCTATTTCATCCCCTCCTTCCAACATTTTCACCTTCCACTGAGCGTACTTGATTCTCATCTAAATGTTTTCTGACAAGTCCCTCGATGCATTTCCTTTTTCCTAACAATTTCTGGCAGTGGAGTATACACTTCCCCAATCGGAGCCTCGCCTTTGTATCCCAACCAGGCGGGAGGCAGAATAAAAGGAAGCCGTTTAAAGGCGGGAGGAGAGAAAATACCGAGGTTGGCTTGCTCCCGATTCACAACGAAAAAGGCGAAGGGAAACTCGCAATTTGGGCTGGCAGGTAAGCAGGCTGGCTTGCTGGCTTTCTCGCCCGCGCCAACTCCCTTCTCTTCGCTTGCTGCCGGGCGATTCTGAATTTAAGCGCAGCTCCTAGCAACCCCGAGGAAAATGCCACGGGTGGGGGTGGAGAGACTCAATTAAGATGCTTGCAACCCCCCCACACAAGGGCAGAGACCAACCCCCGTTTTTTTTTTAAAAAAGCTAAGATTAAAAAAAATACAATCCAAAAGCGCTATTTAAAAAAGCAATTGCACTGAATGCATCAAGGCGAGCTTGCGGAAAGAAAAGATGATAGCCGGCGCTTTTATTCACAGACACCAGATCCCCCCCCCATCATAAAATGTCCATTCCTCCCTCCAAAAGGGAGGGAATCAAAATACAAAAGGAACCCACCCCGCGGCAAAGCCCACCGGCGTGCTGATTCCACAGCTAACAACCCTTCCTTCCCTCCCTTCCTCCTCCTCCTGCCTCACCCTCCCCCCTCAATTCCCCACCAGCCTGTCTTCCCTCTTCCACAGAGGCGCGAGCGACTGCACGCAAGTGCAATCTGGAGCAGCTCCGCCGGCTTCACAGATTCCCTGGGAAGATACATCATGGACGCCAATGTCCAGGCCGCGGCTTCTGATTGCTGAAAAGGCTGGGAGAAGGTGGGCTTTTGATAGCTCTACCTGAGAGGCGGAGAGTTGCTCCTTTGATGCTTTAAGTCTTACCATTCTCTGTGTTGTTTTTATCCGCCTGGAGATGGATAGAGATTGAGAACCGCTGATCTAGAAGTACATTCTAGCTGATCTGGTACAGCTGCCTTAGTCTCTGACTGAAACTGCTCCTTATCTTGTTCCTTGTATAACTGCAGTCATAAATTGCAGGTATAAAGAATCGTCTGAAAGAACACATTATTTATCTGATTTTCAAAGGACTAATAAAAAAGAGCCAAGCAACATGATATCATAAATATGTGTGATGAAAGTTCATTAAGTAAAATATGTGTATTAGAAATACTGCTAGTATACTGCTTTGTATATTAGTAATGTTCCTACTCTTGTTTCTATCCAAGATTTTGGGAGAAGATCATTTCTGTTTTTTAACTTGTTACTGTTTCTTCCCAACTAGAATATGGACAGGAACCATGATTTCCCATCTTTAAGAAAGTATTTTTTTGTTTCTTCTCTCCTTGATACCAAAGGGGAGGAGAAAAAATAACAGAATTTTTATAAGAAAATGATGTTTTATTTCCTAACCTAATTAATTTCCCAATTTAGGAAGTACCTGTGAGAGTAAAAGAGGAAAGTGTGCTTTTAGCTGTCTTTTGGGTATAGTGATCTCTGAATGCTTTCTATATTTGTGGGATTCCAGATATTATCACTGACTTGTGAATTTTAAAGACAGAACTGAAAACTGTCAAATCCATGGAAAATCATATATCAATTGCATTTCATTTATTTAATGTTAATTTGCTTTTAATTAAATAATATCAAAGTGTGAAGGTAATACTCTTAGAAAGTTCTTAGAAATTTTCCCATTTTTGATGTGAAGCTATCCCTTGTGGTGAATTCTGTGAGTTGGTGTCCCTCACTCACAGGCTAAAATGTTGTTTTTAATTCTTCTTTTTTGTCTCAGCTTTTATGCAGAAGTGTCCCCATTCCTATGTTTCCTAACCAAAACTTTTATTTTATAGTATTTGATTAGAACTGGTCACAAATTCCAAGTGAAGGGAAATAGAGGTGTGTTAGAAGTTTTATTTATTTATCCACTTGTTAGGTTTATATCCTGCATTTCCTGCAGGAACTGAAAGTAACTTAAGGAAGCACTTCAGTGAATGAAAGTAAATATACATATCCCAGAATACTGTTGCAGGATCCAATCTGAGTTGGTCACCAGGACCAAAAGTTTATTCTTCCAAGCTTTGGGGCTTGTGCTATAGCCCATATCAGAGAACTTCTCTCTCTTCAGAATATGCACACTGAGCTGTTCTATGTGTTGTATTTATATAGCTCCTGTGTGTAGCATTTAGTTGTTAATTAGGGTGTTAATGATTGGTCATTAAATTGTTAACTATTGTTTCCTTGTGCACTGCACCCTTGGCTCCTAAGTACCTGATAGGCTGGTGGTAAATCAGAACCCTTGCAGATCGACAGGGGCCCATTTCCCAGACTTCAATCATTCCTCTGGCTATTTTTATCCCTGCTTAGCCAACAATAGTAGTAGCCACAAAATTGAACGCTCATTGCAATATGAGGCTGCCAGTGAGTTCAGGTCTCCTCTTCTAAGCGCTTGCTTGTGTTCTTGTAATCTGGTGGCTAGCTTCATCCTTGTCTGTCCACATAACTGCAGGGGTAATCCATGCAGGGAATCCAGTAAATTACATTTGAATTTTTTCTTGCCTCCACACAATCTTTGTAGTGCATGATTTGTCCTCTCATGATAGCCTCTGGCCTCCAGTCTCTAGTTTTTCCCAACAACTATAATCTTGTGCTGTAAATTAAGATGAGCTGGTGAATATTCCAAAGTCATCGAATGAGCTTCTTTAGGTGAGAGTTAAACTGGATCTTGGTATACTACACTGGCTATTTTTGAAAAGGAAGTCGGTTGTTGTAGCAGTGTTTTACTGTCCCATCTGAATTTGGCAGTAGCCATGGCTGATTAGTCTGGATGAAACTTGGCTTTAACACATTTTTCTAAATGCTTGGTCAGCCACTGTCACAGATCAAGGGAGTGCAAAACATTTCAGATCTGAATTGCTTCAATGTTGGAAAGATACATTTAGTGACTTGTGATTTAAGAAAGAAATGCTTACAAACATAATTTATGTAGGGGAGACCGTACTGTGGAGGATTATGATAATTCTTTATTGAAACTATTGTAAACAACGTTATAACCGTACAGTAAGAGGTTATTTTATATTCATACGCATAACTGATGTAAAAGAAAATAAAAAATCACTTCTTTATAATTCATTTTTTCTTTCCTTTGTTTTCTGCTCTTTTGTCCTTGCTCTTCTTTCTTTCATTTCTCCTCAATGTCATTCTAAATATTAGGTCTTGCTAGTTTTTATTCTGTATTAAAATTTTAATTAGTTTTAATTAATTTTAATTAGAAAATGTATTAAAAATATTGGACAAATATGGACATGCATGTGTGTGTCAGTATGTCTATGAGTAGCCTGTGTATCTCTAATATCATTTTCTTTTTTCTTATACAAATGTTTCATTTTGATGACCAAATACAGTATATTATGCACAGAATAGTAATTAAATAATAATCGGTTTAGTATATAAAGCCCTCCCCTCCCCAAACCCCCGTTTTGAATTTGAAACACTTTATCCTTCCAAAGAGCACTTAAAATCGGGATCAGGGTACAATTAAATGTTCTACACTCTATTGAAAAGTTTAGCTGTGGTGCCAGGTCATTTTTTGTTCTTTGTTTTAGTGTTTTTCTTTCATTTTTTGTATATATTGTTTTTATCCTTGCACTGTGAGCCAAGAGTTTGATTTAAGATGGGCAGCCCTGTAAACGTTTGAAATAAATAAAATAAAAAATCTTGTCAGCAGCATTGGCTCTGAATGTAAAGCTGCTATTTCAGGGTTGAAACAAAAATATTTTGAATCCAAGTAGATTGCTTCCATTTTGAAGGAGCTGCCTCATATCCAACATACTCTGAATGTTTGCAGCAGCCCGTTTTGCATTCTAAGTCTGCCATGTTGTTCTTAAAAGGGAACATTTTGAGTTTGAACTAGCGCTAACAGAAACTGTTTTACAGACAAATACAGGTAGTCCTTGACTTACAACAGTTCATTTAATGACTGTTCAAAGTTACAGCAGCACTGAAAAAAGGAACTTAGGATCATTTTTCACAGTTATAACCTTTGCAGTATCCCCATAATCACATGATCAAAAATTCAGATGCTTGACAACTGGTTCATATTTATGACCGTTGCTGTGTCCCAAGATCATGTGATCCCCCTTTGTGACCTTCTGAAAGCAAAATCAATGGGGAAGCCAGATTCACTTAACAACCAGGTTACTAACTTATCAACTGCATTGATTCACTTAACAACTGAGGCAATAAAGGTCGTAAAATGGAGTGAAACTCACTTAACAAATGTTTCAATTAACAACATACATTTTGGGCTCAATTGTGGTCGAAGACTACCTGCATTGTTCGAGGGGAAGGTTACAACATTGCTCATTGCTCAGGCACAAAGGGATCAAGACCATACATTAAGTTGCAATTCAAAAAATTTATTGCTCATGCCTAAATACAAAACTCTAGTCAACTATAACATTCGTACTAAATTGCATCAGATAAGGGTCAATGGAATTCTAGAAGAGTTGGACCATTTGTGGCAATGTAACAGCTGATGATGTACACTTCTTCTCCTACATTTTTGCTAATTTACTGGAACCAGTGGTGGGGATTGAGAATCTACAAGATGATGAATGCAGTATTTTTTTTTTATTGAAAATTTTTTAAAAGTTTTACAAATAAACAACCAAAAACAAATCAACCCTCACCCAATCCCTCCCAAACCCACCCCTCCCTCCCCCCTCCCCGAACTTCCCAGAACTGAATATAGGCTTATTTAAAATTTTTAAAAACCTAAACAAATTTTTACAACTTATAATAAGATATATGTGACATAAGCATTAAAAAGAAAAATACTTAAAAAAGAAGGAAAAAAGAGAGGAAAGAGAGAGAGAAAGAAAAAGAAAGATAAAAAAATAAAAAAAAAAGAAGGGAGAAAACAAAAGACGGGAAAAAGAAAAGAAAAAACAATCTATACAAGTTATGAAAAAGCTAAATGATATTTTTCCATATCCAAATTATATTGTATAAAATTTATCCATTTTTCCCATACAACAAAAAATTTCTCTTGAGATTGCTCCTTTAAGAAAGCCGAAATCTTTGCCATTTCCGCCAAGTAAGAAACTTTATAAAACCACTCTTGTAAAGTAGGCAAAGATTCCTTCTTCCAATATTGTCCTACTAACAGCCTTGCGGCTGTAATCAAATTTAACATCAATATAACTTCCTTAGCATCACAATCAGTAACAATACCTAATAAAAATAATTGCGGGGTAAATTTTACCCTCCTTCTAAAGATTCTTTGAATATTCCACCATATCTTAATCCAGAAAGCTTTTATATTTTTACACGACCACCAAATATGATAATAAGTAGCGTCCAAACAACCACATCTCCAACATTTAGGCTTTAGATCAGGGTACATAATAGACATTTTTTGTGGATCAAGGTGCCATCTATAAAACATTTTATAAAAATTCTCTCTTAAGTTCTGCGCTTGTGTAAATTTAACATTCCTCACCCAGATAAGTTCCCAAGTATCCAATGGGATTGGTTCACCAATATTTTGTGCCCATTTAATCATACAATCTTTGATTAATTCAGATTCTGAATCCATTTCCACTAAAATCTACAAGATGATGAATGCAGTATTGCAACGGCGACCTTGCTGCATTGAACATTGGTATACCACAATCTCTATCCATTATATTGCAGTATGGACACTCCCTCAGACACTGCTGGCTGTCATTAGCACTATATTTCTAGAACCATCTGATTTCCAATCTTTGGTATAAGCCTAATATAGCAGACTGAGGAACCCAGCTTGTTAGTAGACTCCACGCTAATACATAGGCCTGTATGAGTGGATGATGATCAATGTCACTTTTTTCCCCTGATTATTGAACTTGCCAAGGTAATGATTTAGACGCTAACCAGCTCATGTAATGTATGATGAAATGTTGGGAATGACTCAGCAGGGCCTATGTCCCTTTCATAGCCAGCTGTGTCTGTGTGTCTTTAAGAGCATGTGTATAAAAGAGAAGACTCTGCTCCTGTGTTCTCTCTCTTCTGTTTCCTGCTGTAATTGTGGTTTATTGGATCCTGCTGTATTAGTATGTGTATGTATATTGTTCCTGGTGTATGATATTGTAGATAGTGTAAGATAAACTACCATTTAATATAGACCACTGTTTACTGTGATTACTCCTGAGTTATCTCAGCGCAATAAGACTGTGCATGCTCTGACAGAATCAACTGATCATTAGCCAGAAGGAAAATGCCCTTTCAGACTGCAGGCTTGATAGGAGATGATTTAGATAATAATATAAATTTTGTAAATGATATGAATCTTTTAAAATACAGCTAAGCACAATGACTTGGGTTGCATTTTGCTATTTTATTATTTTTTTCTAAATGGGCTGAGTGAAAACATTATTGTTTCAAAAGTTAGAAAAGCAAAGAACACTTTGAGTTATGACCTGACACTTATGTGAAGCACATTATTTGAAAATGTCAAGCATATCTATCAAACAAAAATCTTCCTTAAACATCTCATAAGTATTTCTGGATGAAGAAATAAGAACTGAACAGAGCCTGATTTGATTAACATTTGTACTACAACAGGGCTATAAATCTCTCATCTGGCTTGTTATTTGCAGTACTAAAATGTTACAATATTAGAAATTTGATCTCATTACATTCCTCTTCCTATTATCCCAACCTATAGTTAAAATATAAGGTAGAGTTTATTAAGAAGAAAGGATCATTTATCCAAACTAACCATGTTGAAAGAACTGTGGCTCCACTTTATTCTGATATAATCTATGTTATTTCTGCTCTGCTTTTATTCACTTAGCTTATTTTTCTGAATCTGGCAGGTTGGACCTTCCAAGCAACTAATATTCTCTGGTAAGTTGCTTTGAGCTATCCAGGTTGAATATAAATGCAAATTATTATTATTATTATTATTATTATTATTATTATTATTATTATTGATCATCGCACAGTCAGCCAGATGTTCAGACTGGATTTGGCATTTTGTCTACCTATCGAGTCCTTACCCAGGACCTGGGATAGGCAGATGTGGATGTTTGATGGTATTACAGATATCATCGCAGGATGGAAGCAATTGTCGATAAGAAAGACAAAAAAGTCTGGATAGTGGACGTGGCAGTGCCTGGAGACAGCAGAATAGAAGAGAAAGAACTGGAGAAGATAACAAAATACAAAGACCTACAAATAGAAATAGAAAGACTGTGGCAAAAGCAAGCAAGGGTAGTACCAATAGTCATAGGCTCCTTGGGCGCAATCCCAAAACAACTGGAGCACCACTTGAACACCATTGGCATTGACAAATTTGCTATTAGTCAATTGCAAAAGGCGGCCTTATTAGGAACTGCTTCCATCCTGCGACGATACCTGTAATACCATCAAACATCTACATCTGCCTATCCCAGGTCCTGGGTAAGGACTCGATAGGTAGACAAAATGCCAAATCCAGTCTGAACATCTGGCTGACTGTGCGATGATTGATATTATTATTATTATTATTATTATTATTATTATTATTATTATTATTACTACTACAACAACAACAACAACAACAATAATATTGGAAGGGACCTTGGAGGTCATCTAGTCCAGGGGTGTCACACTCAATTTGTCAAACTGGGCAGGAGTGGGACAGATCTGAGGGTCTCTAGCAGAAGTGGGTGGGACCAGGGCAAGTGCCAAGGCATAGTCCACTGGAAGAGCCTCACTGTTCCTCTCAGACCATATGGGGGGGGGGTTGGATGGTGGTCAAGCTGCCCGGAGCCCAGGCAGCAGAGGTCAAACACCCAGTCTGGCCCTTGAGCACCCACAGCACCAAGCCCAGCCCCACTTCCCCAAGGGAGCGCCCAGCTGCACTTACCTCCTCCTCAAGGCTGCTGCTGCTGTACTTGCTCTCCTTAGCCAAGTTGCTCATGATGGGTACGAGGGCAAAGTCAGAGGGAGGCCCATTCCCTCTCCATGGGAGGAGACCCGGCTTTGTATCCAAAGCTTTCTTAGCAATAGGATGGGAGACTCCAGGATAGGCCAGGAGGAGGGGGTAAGGGGATGGTGAAAGGGCAGCAGGGCATGACTAAAGCAGGACTTCCCTCAGACCCTCCCTCTCTTTCTTTCCTTCCTTCCTTCCTAAGTACAGAGTGGTGGGAAAATATTTGAGATGAGGGAGGGAGAAAAACAGGCAAGAAATGCAGCTGGGGAGGTGTCACCCTTCGTGAGGAATGAAGAAATGCACCATCGCCTGGAAGTGGCAGCACATGGCCCTCACCTACTTCACATATCTGGCTTGGTGGGCTCTGGAGGAGGGGATGCCATGAGCAGCATGAGAGTCAAAGTTATCTGCACAATGCCGCCCAGCCCCCAACCTGTAGTGGCTGGTTCCTCGCTGGTTCCAGAAGGCCTTGTGGAGCTAAGACTGAATGCGTTTCAGCATAGATGGCCATCACAAAATTGTACATTGGCTCCCAGCCGGCCTAGGGCAGGGCCAAGGCAGAGGGGGCCTGTAATGTATTGGCCACAACTATTTTAAATCACTTGCTTAATGTCTGACCTACATTGCTGTATAGTTTAACAGTTGCTGTTAGTGAAAGCCAGACTGGCTCTCTTCAGGCTGATAATGAGGTTTGGGGTGGGAAACTGTTACTTTAAACCTATTGGTTGCCACCTAGAGGCTAACTGTATAAATAGCTGTGCAGCAGTCTTTAGGGCTACTTCTGTTCTGAGTTAACAAACTTGTTTGCTGTTTCAACTCTCTGCCTCGTTCAATGCCTAAAGAACCGAAGATATAACAGTGGCGATGAAGATGGGATGTGCTGCTTCATTGAGAGAGCTTGAAGTCACTAGGGGGTGAGGTCAGCACAGAGCCTGACAGGAACTATGTCCCCCTCCCTGGTCTGCCAGCAAGTCATGCTGGAGACTACCACGCCCCAAGGATCCATCCTAGGGCCTACACAGAAGCCAACAGGGCAAGGCATTGAACGAAGAAACAAACCACCATGGCGAAGGTTGGGAAGAATTGGACGTAACTCACCCAGAGAGATGGGTGTCCTACATCTCCCATGTCGAAAATTACCTCCGCGCCAACCAGATCGCCAAAGATGGATTGAAGGCTGCGACACTCCTCTGTGTGTGAAGCCCCACCACTTTCGACATCACAGAGAACCTGGTCGCCCCAGTGCTGCTCGAGTCAGTCACCTACGCGGACTTGAAAAAAAAGTTCCGAGACCATTTCGAGCCCAAGTTATCCATTATTAGCATGGAGGCGTGCTTTTGAACAGTGGGAGCAGCAACCCGGTGAGTCTGCAACAGAATCCATTGCCGCTCTTTGTCAAGCGCCCCGACTCTACAATTTCATGGATTTGGAGGAGAGACTATGAGACCGTTTAGTCTGCGGACTCCAGAATCGAGAGCTCTAACAAAAACTGTTCGCTAAGGAGACTCTCTTGTTACAAGAAGCCTTGAAGGAGGTCATGGCAGATGAAGCCGCCTGAGGGGCCGTTAAAGCTCTATGGCCCTCCAAAAGTGCGCCAAGCACTGAAGCCATTTATCACAAAGACGCTGAGCGGATGGAAGACTACGAAGTCAACCAACTATGAAAGCATCTGGAGAAGGGATTGCAGTGAGCTGAGAAGGCAGTTCCATTCCTTAACTGCATGGGCTGCAAAGGCTACCATCAACACATGGATTGCTGATTCCGAACTGCAATGTGCCGGGCCTGTGGCAAACCAGGCCACATCGCCGCCATCTGCCGAGGTTGTCAGAGGGACCACTCAAAAGAAGATGCATTCAGGAAAGGTACCAGGGCCCCAGGTCAACACTGAGTAGGGTTCTGCTCCAGCTGAAGGAGCGTATTCCACACTGGTGCCCATTGCTCCCTAAAGATCAAGCTTCAGGGAGTTTCATGCAAGATGGAACTGGACACGGGCTCAGCCATGTCCATCATTTCACAAGGAACATTAGGCACCTATGCCATCATAGCAATAGATGGGCCAAGCTCCGGCCGTTTAATCTACTACTCACAGACTTCCAAAACTCCCGAGTGGTGGTCAAAGGCGAAGCCACACTTCTGGTGGAATTCAAGGGGCCACTAGATGTCATAGTGGTGGAAGGCCAATGCACGAGCTTCATAGGGCTCAATTGGTTTGATGCATTGGGCATTCAAGTAACTGGCATTCACCGAACACAAGTGGCAGATCTGTCTGCAGTCTGCCAAGAGTTCATGGATGTTTTCAGTTCTAGTCTAGAGGAGTACAAGTGTCCTCCGATTGCCCTCAAGCTTGATCCTTTGGTAACTCCAATATGGATCAAGCCTCGTAAAGTGTCTTTTGCGTTAAACCCCCAAAATCAATGCAGAGCTGGATAAGGTAGTAGAACAAGGGGTATTGCAGCCAGTAGACAGTGGGGTGTGGGAGACCCCCATAGTAATGCCATTAAAGGCCAACGGGGAAGTGCGAATATGTGCTGACTATAACTGCACCCTCAATAGGGCACCTCAACAGCACGCATACCCTTTGCCAGTTGTCAGCCATATTTTGGTGTCATTGCAAGGAGGCCGCATGTTCTCCAAATTAGATTTGGCACAGGCCTATCAACAACTGCCCATGGATGAGGATACGGAGTTGGCCCAAACCATTCTAACCCATGGGGCTTTTAAGGTTAAGTGCCTACAGTTTGGGGTGAGTGTAGCCCCTCGGCTGTTCCAGGGGGTGATGGAGCGCATGTACAAGGGAATTCCAGGGGTTTGCCCCTACTTTGATAATGTTCTCATTGCTGGGGAATCGGTTGAGATTCTGGCTGAACGACTTAAGGCCATCCTTTAGCAGTTCTGCGATGTGAGACTTAAACTAAAAAAAGAAAAGTGCAAGATTGGGGTAGAGTCCACCAAGTTCCTTGGTTTCTGCATCGATACTGCAGGCATTCATCTGGTGGAATCCAAATTAAAAACAATCCAGCAGGCCCCAAGGCCGAAGTCAAAGGAGAGCTTCAGGCTTTCCTAGGCCTTTTGAATTTTTACCATGCCTTCCTCCCAATCCCTACGCATTCAGAATGGTCAAGAAGGTCACCTAAATATCTGCAGGACTATGTCCAGCAATTGAGAGTTTGAGCCATCTAGGGGGAGGGAGTGAAATGTATTGGCCACAACTGTTTAAATCACTTGCTTAATGTCTGACCTAACAGTTGTTGTTACTGAAAGCCAGACTGGCTATCTCCAAGTTGAAAATGAGGTTTGGGGCGGGAAACTGTTTCTTTAAACCAGTGGTTCTCAACCTTTCTAATGCCGTGACCCCATAATACAGCTCCCCATGTTGTGGTGACCCCAGGGGCATGGCCACTGAGTGGGTGTGGCCACTGAGTGGGTGTGGCCACTGGGTGGGCATGGCTACCGAGTGGGCGTGGCCGCCAAGTGGCCGCCGTGGGTCCCATCGCCGCAGCAGATGCACAGCTGCCCTTCCTCTTCCTTGACGCAATCTTTCGCCCACCCCAGTGACTCCCTCCCCTTTCTGGGGTCCAGGCATACCCTCCGGAGCCCCGGTGTTTACCGACTGCAGGAAGCGCAGGGTGCCCACATAATCCTGCTCGGTTGAGGACACAGAGGCGAAGACGCAGCTGGCGGTCCGTATCCTTTGCCGGTTCCAAAGGGAAAGCACTGGTGCCGGGGGCCACTGCCCCTGCCGCCGCTGCCACCGACGGCTTAGATACCGACTGCACTTCCATGGCTCCTGCCTGCCTCAGCTTCCAGATCATCCCGACCCCACTTTCCTCACTCCGTGGCTGGCTTTAGGCGCCCTCCATACCCGAGGCACATGCCAAACGCACAAGGATGGAGTCTCTCGAGCTTGACCTACCAGCAGGAGCGCTGCGCTGGGACATGGCGAGGAGGCGGCATCGGCGGCTAGGAGCAGAGCACAAACAGCGCTGAATGGAGAGAAGTGTTTCTCTCCATTCAGCACTGTTTGCGCTCTGCTCCTCATAGCCGCCACCGCCTCATCATGTCCCAGCGCGGCGCTCCTGCTGGTAGGTCGAGCTCGAGAGACTCGATCCTTGTGGTGCGTTTGGCCTGCGCCTCGGGGATGAAGAGCGCCTAAAGCCGAGCGGGGAGTGGAGCGTGCTCCAGCAGGAGCACCGCGCTGGGACATGGCGAGGAGGCGGCGGCGGCTACGAAGAGCAGAGCGCAAACAGTGCTGAATGGAGAGAAACACTTCTCTCCATTCAGCACTGTTTGCACTCTGCTCCTTGTGGCCACCGCCGCCACCTCCTCGCCATGTCCCAGCGCGGCGCTCCTGCTGGCGCACGCTCCACTCCCCGCTCGGCTTTAAGTGCCCTCCATCCCCGAGAGAGACTTGATCCTTGTGGTGCATTTGGCGTGCGCCTCGGGGATGAAGGGCGCCTAAAGCCGGGTGGGGAGTGGAGCGTGCGCCAGCAGGAGCGCCGCGCTGGGACATGGCGAGGAGGCGGCATCGGTGGCTACGAGGAGCAGAGTGCAAACAGCCCTGAATGGACAGAAGCGAGTGGTGAGTGGAGCGCGCGAAGGGACTTGACCAGGGCAGCGGGCAGAGGGGAGGGTCGGCTCCGGAGGCAGAGTTGGCACTCAGAAGTGAGGGAGGGGGCGGTGGCAAGACGAGCCCAAAACAGTAGTCTGGAGAGCGCAGCAGCCGACGAGGGGAGAGGCCGGAACAAAGAGAGAAGCGGCTGGGCAGCAGGGAAAATGAGGGGATTTCTACGATACGATGCAAAAAAAAACCTTTGCCTTGGCACAATGGGAAATAGTGAGAAATTGATGCACAAAAGTAATTTGGGGCTCATGTTGCTTTGCGATCCTTGACGCTTAGAGAGATAAGTATGCAAGAATTTTTGATTCATTTATTTAACTTTAACAAAACGAACTACAAACTTAAACTCCACTGAAGTAATTAGAGAGTACCCGTATACGCCGGAAAATACAGTACATATATTCCTCTGCCAAGCAGAGGAAGCTCAGCGGCAGACCAGAGAGGAAACTTACTGTTTTTAGTTGTTTTCTCTCTTGCTTTCCACTGCTTGCTCTCTCTCGCTTGTCCTCTGTATTGTTTTCCTCCACGTGCTCTGAAACCGAAACTTCCTAACTTTAAATAGAAAAAAGCTGCGCATGCGCAAGGAGGAGGGAGGCAGGAACGGCACTTTCTATATAGCCAAATAAGAAGTAGAACAGTTAGAAAGGGGAAAAAAATGGCGGACAGCGGGGTTTGGCGACCCCCATGAAATGGTCGATCGACCCCAAATGGGGTCGCGACCCATAGGTTGAGAACCGCTGCTTTAAACCTATTGGTTGCCATCCTGGAGGCTAACTGTATAAATAGCTGTGCAGCAGCCTTTAGGGCTGCTTCTGTTCTGAGTTAATAAAATTGTTTGCTGTTTCAACACTCTGCCTCATTCAATGCCTAAAGAATGGAAGATATATTTCTTAAGTAATAGATAAAAGAGTAAAAAGAAAGGGGAAAAAAAGAAATAAAAAATAAATAAGAAGAGAAGAAAACAGGAGCAACGGAACATAGGAAATAACATAGTACTTAGAATATATATTCCTCCTAGATTAATATGTATTTATTCTCAAATTTGTTATTCTTTTTAATCATAGTTAAGAATATATTTAAACTTTAGACATTCCATTTAATAGGTCTGGTCATCTAATCCCTTAACTCTGATTCAAAGCATTTTTATATACTTTCCTTAAATTCAGTCACATTTAAATATCTAAAACATTTCATCCCTCTTAGAGTGGTATATTCCAAAATTTTTCTATTTCTTTAACCATATTCAAACACATGTTTCTTTTTAAAGTATTCTGTCTGATATGTCCCATCATCTATTTTCTTAGTTTCCATCTTAATCTTTTTTCTTTGCCCAGAATCTTTCTTAATCAATGTACTTTGCTGAATCAAAAGGTTTTCCCATATGGTCATAGGTGTTGCTGTAGATGTAGAGAGTAAATCAATGTCTCTATCATGGGCATTTGCCCACCTCTTTTTATTAGGAATCTTTTTCCTTCCTTTCTCTCCATTTCTTTTGTCACTTTTTGTCTCTTCATCCAATCCTTTCTCTTATATTCAAATTTACTTTGTAAAGTTGTCTTTTCTTCCACTTGGATTAAATCATACTCTTTTATTTTATGGAAGTCCATCTTTAAGTCTTTATCCTCGGATTTATATTCAGTCATCTCTGCTGTATTCTCCTGAGGGTTTTTTTGGAGTAAAATTAAATTGGAGATAAGTTGATTTATACTTTCCAAGTTGTTTTGTATTTCTTTGTGGTTTGAGATCATTGTCCTTTGAATTGATTGCAGCTGATCATATATTTCCTCTTGTAAAGCATACATTGTTTCTGCAGTTCACACTTTATCTAAACAGCTATGTTTATTAAGACTTTGAAGGACACAGACAGAGATTTTATAATCCTCATCCACCAGTAGGTGTCAGCATTGGATCATTTTTCAGTTCTTTCTAGTCTTTTTCCTCCTTAATGAGTTAGATTCGCCGCTTCCAATAGCCAAAAGGGTGGGGAGGAAATACTTCCCTTTCTCACTCTCAGAGGTATTTTTGCTTCTTGGGAGTTCTCCTTTTCAGGAAAATAAGTAGGATAGAGAAAACCAGTTCTTACCCAGCTTCAACGCACTGTTCACAATCAGCTTATAGTAGAGCTTTTGACTTCTGTTGCTTGCAGCTGGGGCTAGACAATGGAGTTAGCTAGCCTTTCTCCTGTTGGTTTCTGGGAGGCTTCTCCTGGACCGATCGGGGAGACCGCCATCTCTCCTAGGTCCCTAGGACTACCTTCCTTCCTTGCCACCTCTCCGGGGCAGCTTCTAGCCCATTTAGGGTACCCAAACAGGAAGAAACTCAGCTGAAGAGCTCGACATCCTGAATCTCTCAGCTGATTCCACTGCTCACAAGAACAGGAAGTCTTTTTACTCTTTTATTTATTACTTAGAAATGTAAAAATGTGAGATGGCTTATATGGGAAAAATAGAATTAAATCTGTCAATGTAAATGTAACTAATCGTTGAGAAAACCCTTACCAGTAAGAATATTTAGAACTTGGTGGGAGAAATAAACTAAAATAAGGATTGTAACAGGATTGATGATAAGGCAACCCAAATGACTGAAAACAAAAAGAAATATACTAATACGATGATTATTTTTTTAGGAATATTGGAAAAAGTATATACCTAATTGTCATTTACTAAAGCGATAAGAATTGTATTAATTCAATGTTTGCAAAAAAAAAAGATGTTTTAGGGAAAGAGGAAATCAACTAAAATTAATATATGGAATACAGATTATAGAAATCAATTGTTAAGGAGTGTCTTTACAAATATAACCCAGACAACACAGTTTACCAATTACTGAGTGAGTTATGCTTGTTAAAAAATTAATAAAATATATTATAAAAAAAGAACCAAAGAAAGAACAGGGCCGTTCCCTCACTATTTCCAGAATGGCTTCGCAGGCTGCATCCAGCCCGTGGGCCTTGTGTTTCACATGTCTGATCTAATCCAACCCCCTGCTCAGGCAGGACACCCTATACCATTTCAGACAAATGGCTGTCTAGTCTCTTCTTAAAAACCTCCAATGTTGGAGCATTCACAGCTTCTGGAGGCAGGTTGTTCCACTAATTAATTGTTTTAACTGTCAGAAAAATTCTCCTTAGTTCTAGGTTGCTTCTCTCTTTGGTTAGTTTCCATCCATTGCTTCTTGTCCTACCTTCAGGTGCTTTGGAGAATATTTTGCCTCCCTCTTCTTTGTGGCAACCCCTGAGATATTGGAACACTGCTATCATGTCACCCCTTGTTCTTCTCTTCATTAGACCAGATATGCCCAATTCCAGCAACCGTTCCTTATATGTTTTAGCCTCCAGTCCCTTTGTTGCTTTGTTGCTCTTCTCTGTACTGTTTCTAGACTCTCAACATCTTTTTTATATCATGGCGACCAAAATTGGATGCAGTATTCCAAGTGTGGCCTTACCAAGACATTGTAAAGTGGTATTAACACTTCACTTGATCCTGATTCTATATTACATGGCATTTCTCTATGATTAATGTTGTATTGAGAAAAATGGCTACAGCTGCAGATAGATTTTCATGGATTTTCTTTAGCTTTACACAAACAATTGAATTGGTGAGAGGGTCAAATTACACATAAATATCTATTAAAATAGCAATTGAATGGGTACTTTTTAAAATTAAATTGCAAAGTTAAGAATCAGGGTTCCTATGAATGCAAACTTAAATTCCTGAAATTCAATTCTAAAGATTAATTACGTATTGTAGAGTTGATTTTAGGCAAAGGTATGTTGCTGAATATTGTTTATATTTTGATAATAATGTAGAAAATGTATGTGTGGGAAAATGGTGGTCACTATGCATTCCAAGCAAACTTTTATGAGAATTTTAATGATTCTTTTCTTTTTTCTTTTTCTAAAAAAAGAACATTCACAAGGGTACCAAATTGAAACAGAGATGCACCATTTCTTTTGGCTAATGCAAATGTTTTCTTGGTTCTTAGGGTAATTACTATTTTTATTCTAAATACTGATTTATATCCCAGATGGTATAGTTTTAATTGAAGTTTTAATGAAATTATTTCAATATTTGGTCTTTGATACCAATTTAAATGAAGCAAGAGAAGATCTAGTGAACTTGCTTCTGATTCAATTCAAGGCGCTAGTAATTACCTACAAAGCATTTCATGGCTTAGGCTTGGCTTACTTGTGGGATTGTTTCTTCCTAATTCCTTCCTAGGTATACAACTTTTTCTGTTGTAGCATCTAGCCCAGGGGTGTCAAACTTGCAACGTCACATCACGTGTTGCGACATATCGCAACTTTTTTTCCATTGCTGGCAATGGGGTAGGCGTGGTTTCAGCATGACGCATCTGACCCGCAGGCCGGCAGTTTGACACCCCTGATCTAGCCTATATAACATCATTCTTCTGGAGATTAGACTTGCCTTAAGGTGTTAGGCCTGATTTTGGTACTGACCTTTGACCCCAAGTGTGTGACTGAGTCTATACCGTGGTTACCTTAATTGAGAGGTTGGTTGATTTTCTATCTCATATATATAATTTATTGATTTATTATTGTTTTTATTTTGTTTTTAATCATTGATAGCTGCCCAGAATCGTGCATTTAAGATGGGTAGCTTACAAATCAAATTAAAAAAAAATCTTCTAATTACAGGTAAACTGAATATGTGGCTGGTTCTGATTTTACTTTATTGGCCTGTATTAGTTGAAGGAAAAATTTTGAACAGAAATGTTAATCCTGAAGCCAGACTGAATTCAGTAAGTAATCTACAAACTTCTCCAAGGAATTTTTCAGAACATTGAACATTGGAACAATGCTGAAGGAAGAAGGAAGAATATATATATATATATATATATATATATATATATATATATATATATATATATATATATATATTCAGATTTCTGAATATATAGTGGAAGACTATATAGTTATATAGTTTCATATATATATATATATATATATATATATATATATATAGAGAGAGAGAGAGAGAGAGAGAGAGAGAGAGAGAGAGAGAGTTATCTATACTGTTGGTTACTGTATTAGTATATTATTCGTCATATCATTCACATCAATATCTCTTAGCATTTCTTTAGATTGAAATAGTCTATTGGGTTTATTCATAACATCAGGTTTATCAGTATGATAAACTGATTTTGTGTTTGTCTTCTTCATCTTTGGTAGAAACAGCTCATCCTGTACTGGAAATATCCTCTTGAGGAACATTATGTCATTACAAAAGATGGCTATATTCTCAACTTATTCAGAATTCCACATGGCAGAGAAAACAACAAAACCACAAGTTTGTACGCTTACTAAGTTGGCTCATTTTACAATAGTAAGGTGAATGTGCTTCTCAGCAAAGAACAAAATTCTGGATTCAAAGCCTCTCTGTGAGTGTGGAGAGTGAAGCAACAAGTCGGCTGGAATAGTTCTGCTACTAATTATAATTTTGAAATAACATCCAATATTCGTCCTACAAAGATTATCTGAAGCACCAGATGTCAGGATGCCTTTTTCATTGCTTTGTTTCAGGTCCAAAGCGAGTAGTGTTTCTACAGCATGGCTTGCTGGTGGATGCTGCCAATTGGTACCAAAATTTTCCTCATAATAGTCTGGCTTTCATGCTAGCAGATGCTGGATATGATGTCTGGCTAGGAAATAGCCGAGGGAACACCTGGTCCAAGAATCACACATCTCTTTCTCCCTTCTTTGGGAAGTTTTGGAAATTCAGGTATCCTGATTTAAACTCTGCAGAGCCATGTGAAACTCAGAAGACTCCTCATGCTGGAGACATTTTTATAGTCTTTGAGGCTATTATCATAGAATAGAATAGAATAGAATAGAATAGAATAGAATAGAATAGAATAGAATGGAATGGAATGGAATGGAATGGAATGGGATGGGATGGGATGGGATGGGATGGGATGGGATGGGATGGGATGGGATGGGATGGGATGGGATAGGACAGAACAACAGAACAGAACAGAACAGAATAGAGCTGGGAGGGACCTTGAAGATCTTCTAGTCCAGCCCCCTGCTCAAGCAGGAGAACCTATACCATCTCAGGCAGGTGATTGTCCAGTCTCTTCTTGAAAATCTCCAGTGATGGAGCGCCCACGATTTCTGGGGCTAAGCTGTTCCACTGGTTGATTGTCCTCACTGTCAGGAAGTTTCTCCTTAATTCCAGGTTGCTTCTCTCTTTAATCAGTTTCCAACTATTGTTTCTAGTCCTTCCCTCTGGTGCTCTGGTGAACAACTTGACCCCCTCTTCCTTGTGGCAGCCCCTCAGATACTGGAATGCTGCTATCATGTCTCCCCTATCAATTGGGCTGCTGCCTTTCTCTCTGATTGTCCTGGAAGCACAATCCTAGATACTCCTGGGATTTTTTTTTCAACATCCTCAAAGCATTTCTTATCATGTTGTAAGTTCATTACCTTCATCTTTTCCTTCTTTCCTATTCTGAACAAGAACAGTACATGATCTAGCCAGTGTTTCTCAACTTTGGGCACTCATCTTTAAGTGGCCAAGGTTGAAAATACACTGATCTGATCTATACATTGATAAGAGCTGGCTTGTTTGCTTGATTCTACTCCCAACAGAAAAGAAAGAGCAAAAAGGAGATTCTGATTTTTGGAGCAAAAATAGGATTCTTCTGCTTTTTACTTCCTTTCCTGTACTTTCTCCAAAATGTGTTTCTCCATTTGTAGCTCTTTTAGGGAAAAATACATTAATATCCTTTACAGTTTCTCAAAACTTTTTGTTTCTGTACTAAAAAGGCTTTTGTTTTACTACCTTATTCTCAGGGAGAGAGAGAGATGGTTAATTTTTATTACATATATACAAGCATACATTTTCTTTTGCCATCCCTATTATAAGTTTTTGGTTGACTTACATATTGTACAATGAAAATATGACATTTGCATCCAAATTCTTGGCTGTCTGAAGAAATCCACTACTTCCACACACTCCAGCCATTAGAAATTTTCAACAGCAACAACAAGAAGTTCTCTTTCTCCAAATTCATTGATTCTTAGTAGAAAAAAAAGAGATTATTGCTATACTAACACCATTACCTCCATTTCCAACACATACGCCGGTAGAGAGGCTTCAGCAAAGTTAGCACAGCTGGATTTAGGCATAAACTAAGCAATCAGAAGGACCTCCTAAAATTTCATATTTTTAAAAACTGTTACAATTATATTATTATTCCATTGAAGATATTTCCATAAATTATTTTCCTTCAAGAGAATATACTGTATGTAGCTTAGGTTTGAACAGTGCTGAACAATGATGTTATCTAGTTGTGTAATGAAATTTCTGCAAGCAAACAACTAAGCTCATCGAGGATCAAGAAGTCCCCATTAAGCCCTTCTGTATGGTTTACGTATGCTCCTTAATTGATTAAGATGTGCTTTGTTCCTACATGCATTCTAGGGTTGGTTAGGCACCTTGATGGTGTTCAGTTGTCAATCTCTGCTAGCACAAATTGAGCCTCTCCAGCTTCGCAAGCTTTGTGTCTCACCTTGCCTAAACCCAGTCCTAAAGGTTAGCCATGGACAAGATGGAAAGATGGGTTTTTGGTTCTAAAACTTGAACCCCTGTCCTTTACTTAATTAGAGATTGGGGCAATTTTAGGCTGGTTAGGATGCATGACTTGAGCACCACATCTCCATGGAAGCCATTTTGTGAAAATGAGACTAGCACACTCTCAGATCCGAAAAAGATCCTTGCCATACATGCAGCTTAATGAGGACATTTATTTTTGTTTCCAGTTATAATCAAATGGCTAAATATGACCTTCCAGCCTCTATAGAGTTTGTTCTGCAGAAAACTGGGCAGAAACAAATATATTATATTGGTCACTCCCAAGGAACCACCATTGGTAAGTTCAGAAGCTGCCCAGCCTTGTGTTAAGGGGCTGTAATCTTATGTGTATTTACCAGAAAGTAAGTCCCACTGAACTCAAATAAACATTCTTATAACTATGCATATATAGGACAGTACTGGGAATGCATTTACTTGGGAGTGCATCTGGTAGGTTTTAGTGACAGTAACTCAGGCATGAAGCCAGCTGGGTGACCTTGGGCCACTGGGGCCACTCACTTTCTTTCAGCCTTAGGAGGAAGCAATGGCAAACCACTTCTGGCAATCTCCAAGAATTGGACATAATTGAAAAGGAGGGGAAAAAAACCTTGCCAGTCAAGCAAGCAACAATTTCAAATTGTTATCAAAGTTTGCATTTCCAAGCCCTCACAGCACGCATAGCATTGAACAACAATTTGTAGCTGTCTGCATACCTGCCTCCTTTTCTTTTTAGTAGCCAAGGTTTACAGGGGGCAGAGTGAGTAGCAACCTCAGTGGAGGATTAAGTCAGAATTCATTCTGTTTCTTCTCCATGCTTTTAACAAGAGCTAGATGTTAAGCATATCAATGATGGAATTTTATTTAACCAGGTGAAAGTTACTTTGATGTTTAAAAGCTGTTTCTCTCTTCTTTTTCTCTTCCTCAGCTTTTATAGCTTTTTCATCCAATAAACAACTGGCTTCCAAAATCAAACTGTATATTGCTTTAGCACCTGTTGCTACTGTTAAAAACGCTAAAACACCTTTAGCCAAACTTGCAAAACTTTCTGATAAAGAAATTAAGGTATGTGGATTGGGTGACTTCGTATGTGGATTAGGTGACTTTGGACTGTAAGGATTCATTATATAAAATTGTAAGATTTAGAAACTTGGTCCTAATGTAGTCTTAGGACACAGGATATTTTCATTTTACCTGGATACTCGAGGAACTATCTCACTCCAATGGGATTAGCCCATTCCACTCATTCTGACAGATGCTGTGGACCCTGTCAATCAAGGACTGGCAGAGGCCAGGAGAAGGGCCTTTTCTGCTATGGCTCCCACCCTCTGAAAATATTGTGCTCCTCAAGCTGAGATCTGCTCAAATCCTCTTGGCCTTCCCTAAGTGCCTCAAAACCTGGATCTGCCAAATGGCTGGGGGTCCTGATGGGAGTATTTCATGTTGAGGTGATTAGTGGATTAGGAAGAAGAACCCACCTTCACCCTGTAGTATTCTGGTTTTAATTTATTTAATTTCTGTTAATTTACTATTGAATGTTTCAATATTTGTACGCCTATTTTTTACGATATTTGTAAGTCGCTGAAAGTCATATGATAGTGATATGGCACATAAATTTAATAAATAAATAAACAAATAAATAATTTTTCTTTTAGTTTTGAAATTTCCTTCCTTCCTTCCTTCCTTTCTTCCTTCCTTCCTTCCTTCCTTCCTTCCTTCCTTCCTTCCTTCCTTCCTTCCTTCCTTCCTTCCTTCTCCTTCCGTCCCTCCTATTCATTTTTCCATCTTTCTATCATCACCACATATATATGCAGACATCATGCAGAGCCAATGTATTACTAAAAAGGAGGATTTTCCTATATATAGGCTGTCCTTGACTTACAACCACAATTGAGCCCAAAATTTCTGTTGCTATGCGAGACAGTTCTTAAGTGACTTTTGTCCATTTTACGAACTTCCTTGCCACAGTTGTTAAGTGAATCACTGCAGTTATTAAATCAGTAACACAGTTTTTAAGTGAATCTGGCTTCCCCATTGATATTGCTTGCCAGAAGATTGCAAAAGGTGATCACATGTCTCCGGGATACTGCAACCGTCATAAATATGAGCCCATTGCCAAACAGCCAAATTTTGACCACATGATCACCAGGATGCTGTAATGGTCATTAAGTCTGAAAAACAGTCATAAGTCACTGTTTTTAATGCCATTGTAATTTCAAACGGTCACTAAATGAATTATTGTAAGTTGAGGACTATCGGTATGTTGCACTCTGTTCCTTACAGCTATATCATCTTCTGAGGAACTGCTGGGTGGAGTGGGGTGGACAATCCTGTATAACTAATACTCAACTCTCTGAAATTTTACAGATCTTATTTGGAAGAAAAGAGTTTTTGCCCAAAACGTATTTTGGTACTTTGTTTTCTACCAAAGTCTGCAGTCAGGAGGCGCTGGCGTCTATTTGTAGCAACCTCTTATTTGTATTGTGTGGTTTTAATGAGGGGAACTTGAATATGGTGAGTACCATTGTTTTAGTATAATGCTGAAAGACTTTCTGTCTCTGCTTTTCCCAGGTAATGCCACTAGTTGGACAATATTTCCAGCAGGATTAACTATTGGAAGTTACTCACAAAGGTACTTTTTCAAAAGGCAACTGGACTGTTCCTCAGGAAGACTTTTAACTTCTCATCCAAGAAGCTTCCTCAGTTCTGGTAGGATGGTGGGGGCGATGGAAGGATTAGTTCTGACAGGATGGGGGGCAGAGTTGGAAGGATGATATTTCTTTACTGTCATCTGGTCATTAGCACTCTCCTTAAGAGGTCTTGAGACCCCTTGGGGGTTTATCTGTGCCTCAAGAGTGGCCTCAAGAGTTCTCAGGGACATTGACTGATCATAGTCCTGTATGGTTGGAATTAATTGCTGAGAAGGAGGAGAGAAGATCTTGGAGGTTGAATGAGAATTTATTTAGATATGAGGTGAATGTACAGAAACTTAGAGAATATTTAAAGGAATTTTTTATTTTAAATATGTCTAAGGGAACTCCAATGGCAATGGTTTGGGATGCCAGTAAGGCTTATATGCGTGGGGTTTTGATTCAAATGAATAATGTTTATAGGCGAAAACAAATGCAAAAACGTAAAGAATTGGAGGATGAGATTAAAATAAAAGAAAAAGCATTAATTATGAATCCTTTGGATAAGAATGTAAAGGCTTCCATAAATTTGCTTAAAGCACAATTTAATATGTTAATAGCTGATCAGGTTGCAACTAATTTACGTTACATGAAACATAATACATTTTGTAATGCAAATAAAGCGGGCAGGTGGTTGGCTTATCAATTAAGGAAGAAACAGAGGTTGAGAATTATAGATAAAATAAATTATAATGGTAAAGTGGTTTTTCAGAAAGAATTGATTAAAAAATCTTTTTTAGATTTTTATACAAAATTATATATGGGTCAGAAGGTACAGAGTTTGGATATAGATAAGTATTTACAAGATGCTCATTTTCCTAAATTAACAAATGATCAAAGAGATGAGATCAATGGATTGATTACTTCACAGGAAATTATTATGGCAATTAAACAGTTAAAAGTTGGTAAAGCACCTGGTACTGATGGATTGACATCAATTTATTATAAAACTTTAAGTGAGGAGATGATAGAGCCTTTAAAGGAACTTTTTAATAGTATATTATTGGGTTTAGAGATACCTCCATCTTGGAGAAGGGCTTTTATATCCTTGATTCCAAAAGAGGATCAAGATCTTACCTTACCTAAAAAATTATAGACCTATATCTCTTTTGAATATAGATTATAAAATTTTTTCAAAAATTTTAGCAAATAGACTTATGATTGTATTGAATCAAGTGATACATACTGATCAAACAGGTTTTATAACTGGGAGATATATGAAGAATAATGTTAGACAAATTATTAATTTAATAGAATATTTGGATAAAAATAATCAGATTCCTGCAGGTTTGATTTTTTTAGATGCTGAGAAAGCTTTTGATCAGTTAAATTGGCAATTTATGTTAAGGTTGGTTGAAGAGATGAATTTTGGGGATAAAATTTTGCAAGCTCTTAGAGGTATTTATCAAAAACAATTGGCGCAACTTATAATTAATGGAGGTTTATCTGAGGTTTTTCAGATCGGAAAGGGTACAAGACAGGGATGTCCACTGTCCCCTTTGTTGTTTGTTTTAACCTTAGAAATTTTGTTGATTAAAATTCGTGAATCATCTAAAATAAAGGGAATAACGATTAATAAGAAAGATTACAAATTAAGAGCTTTTGCTGATGACTTGGTTGTTACTTTGTCTCAACCAACCTATTCGGTATTGGAATTGTTACAGATTATAAATCAGTATGGGCAAGTTTCTGGTTTTAAAGTTAATAATAATAAGACTAAAATATTATCTAAAAATATATCTAATTCGGATAAGGAGATTTTAGTTAATTTGACAGGTTTTGAAATTGTAAAAAAAGTAAAATATTTGGGGGTTTATATAACTGCTTCTAATGTAAAATTGTATAAAAACAATTATGAAATGTTATGGCTTAAAATGCAGAAGGATTTGAATGATTGGAAAAAATTGCAATTATCTTTGTTAGGGAGAATTGCTGCAGTTAAAATGAATGTTCTGCCAAAATTTCTTTTTTTGTTTCAAATGATACCTATCTTAAAGAAAGAGGTAAATTTAGAAGAATGGCAGAAGGGTATTAATAGATTCCTCTGGGTTGGGAAAAAAACCAAGAGTTAAGCTTAAAATTATACAAGATGTTCGAGAGAGAGGAGGACTCAAGGTGCTGAATTTGAAATTGTATTATGATGCGGTGGTCTTAACGTTGATTAGTGATTGGGTTAACTTAACAAATTCAAATATACTTTTTCTGGAGGGATGGGATTTATTATTTGGATGGCATGCATATTTAATTTATAATAAAAAGGTGAATAGGGTTTTTAAGTCCCATGTTTTAAGAATTGCTTTATTGCAGATCTGGAAGAAATATTATAGATTAAATTTTAGAATACCGTTGTGGGGAATTCCTGGGCATGCAATAGAGGGGATAAGGAAAGGAGTGAAAATGGATAGGATTTCTTACAAACAATTGCTTAAGTTGGAAGGGTATAATTGGCAATTAAAATCTATGGAGGAATTAACGCAAGAAAATACTATTTATTCTTGGTTCCAGTATAGGCAATTATTAGAAAGATGGAGTATAGATCAAAAAGTGGGTTTTACTACGGAAGATATGAATTTGATGAAACAAATTAAAGATCAAAGTCGATCTCATATAAAAAGAGTTTATAATGTTTTAGTGGAATTGGATTCAGAAACAGAATTAGTTAAAGATTGTATGGTTAAATGGGCTCAAAATTTTGAAGAACCAATTTTATTAGATACATGGGAGATAATTTGGGTGAGGAATGTTAAGTTCACCCAAGCTCAAAATCTACGAGAAAATTTTTATAAAATGTTTGATAGGTGGCACCTTGATCCACAAAAGTTGTCTCGTATGTATCCGAATGTACAGCCCAAATGTTGGAGATGTGGCTGTTTGGATGCAACGTACTATCATATTTGGTGGTCATGTAGAAATATAAAGGCTTTTTGGATTAAGATTTGGTGGAACATTCAGAAGATTTTTAATAGAAGAATAAAATTTACACCACAATTATTTTTGTTAGGTATTATTGAAGACTGTGATGGCAAAGAGATTACTTTAATGTTGAACTTTATTATGGCGGCAAGGTTATTGATTGGGCAATATTGGAAGAAAGATTCTTTGCCTACTCTAGAGGAATGGTTTCTTAAAGTTTCTTATTTATCAGAAATGGCAAAAATTTCGGCTTATCTGAAAGACCATTCACAAGAGACATATAACTCTGTGTGGAAAAGATGGGTAAATTTTGTACAGAATAAATATGGGATTAGAAAGTATTATTTAGCTTTTGAATAATTTATAGTTTAATGTGGCTATGGTTGGATTTGTTGTTTCTATGTATTGGAGTTAAAGTACTTTTAATTTTTTGGATGTATGTATAGTTGATTGATGTTCATTTAATTTGTATATTTTTTTTGTTTTTTTTTTAACCCTGTATTCAGCTCTGGGAAGGAGGGGGGAGGGTTATGGGGGTGGGAGGGGGGGAGGTATTTTATTGTAAAAAGTTTATAAAATTTTCAATAAAAAAAAGAGTTCTCAGGGAGAGTGCTAACAACCAAAGTGTTGCAAAGAAATATGATCCTTCGAACCCCCCCCCCCATCCTTTCAGAACTAATCCTTCCATCACTCCCACCATCCTGCCAGAACTGAGGAAGCTTCTTGGATGAGAAGTGATACGCCTTCCTCAAAGAAAAAATAGTCCAGTTGCATTTTGAAAAAGCCCCTCTGAGACAACTGGATGACTGAGAATCTCCACAGACATTGGAAGTTACAATTTCAGCATGTCAGGAGGACAACCAATTAGGGCAGCATTTTTCAAACTTGGAAATTTCAAGACGTGTAGACTTCAACTTCCAGTATTCATGCTGGACAGGGAATTCTGGGAGTTGAAGTCCATATATCTTAAAATTGCCAAGTTTGAAAAATACCTGATATGGGGAAGGAGTTGTATTTATTTCAAAGATTCCCTTTTTAAAATTTACTTAACTGACATAGAGAACTCACTACTAAATAGACTTCTTTCTGCAGCTCAAGGGTAAATACATTTTTAATTGAGACACATTTAGAATATATTGACCACACTTGTTGGTGCAGTCACAGTTGGTCACTTATTTTCCTAAGCATTACAGATTACATTATATTTTCTGTCAGTAATGAGATATTTGCCCCTGAACTTTTTGATAATATTATTGTATCTTTTCTGCCATTATGAGACTAATATGTAGTGGTGTTCAGGAGTGTCACGATGTTGGTTGCAACTGTGTGACAGACATTTTTTTGCACGGTTGCAGATGCCCCTATCATTGTGCTCATTTTGTCCCAACAGTATGAACAAAAAAGAAACTTAACTTTTTATGAAAGATTTCAAATATTTTCATTTCTATAAACCTTTGAGTGGGCTTTCAGCCTATTGATTCAGAATTATGTATTAGATTGGTTTACTCAATCATGGAATAAACGTATGGAATAAACTTATGAAATACACACATTTTGGCTTTATATAATATACACAATAGATGACTAATCTCAGTCCCTCCCTTTCTGGAGCAGAGACATTTTTAAGACTTTTAGTCTTCTCTGCCATAAGCCATGGTTTGCAATCATTAATGGTTACATTTATGCAGTGTCATAAACCCAAAGAAAGAAACCATGTGATTCCTTAGCATAACTAAGAAACTGAGCTAAAATTAACTTCATTAAACAATAATCTACATGATGTCTTTTTTTTTCAGAGCCGAGTTGATGTGTATACATCATATGTCCCAGCTAGTACATCTGTGCAAAATATGATTCATTGGAAACAGGTAGATATCCTAAAGTAAATTGCTATGCTGGGAAGGCATAATATGTTGTGCTTTAAGAAATTGTAGGATAAGTAAATGGCTTTTCTTGAGAGTTCTAAGTTATTATTCTTTTTGATAATACCCAACTGATATTTCAATCCTGAGCTGTCCACGTTATGCTATCTCGGTTCTGTCCCAGTGTCTGAAATCTGTACTGATCTAGATAGGGAGAAAAAGAGTCAGATTTGAGACAATACTGAATGGCGGTGAATATTTGGCTTCTCCAGTTCTGGGGTTTTCCCATCTTTAGTTTTGAATGGGAGAACATTTCCCCATTCATGACTGGTCCACAATTTGAGGGTTTATTTTATTTATTTATTTATGAGACTTATATACCGCTTTAAGTGCAAGCACTCTCTAAGCGGTGTACACCAGTAAGCAATGTATATATATATTTACATTGCTCCCAACAATCTGGGTCCTCATTTGATCTCCATCTCTTGCTCAAAGAAGGCCTTTGCACAGATTTATCTAGTTTGCCAATCATGCCTGTGGATGAATTGGAAGACTCTTAGCAATTACTCAGATCCTAATCACCTCACCAATGGATTACTGCAATGTACTCCAAATGGGGCTGCCCTTGAAAACCACCTGGAAGTTATAGTTGCTTCAGAATATGGTGAAACAGACAGCATATTGCAATATGCCAAGCTGACAACATTGCTCTGTGAGCTGCATTGGTTACCAGTTAGTCTCTGGGGGCAATTCAAGATCCTGATTACTACCTTAAAAGCCCTTCATGGCATTGGGCCTAATATTTGACCTCTCTCCAATAGTGTGTTTGTCTTGTATGACACAGTAGCTTTAGGTCCCTTCAGTTAAACAGTATTATCTACTTAGAACCTAGGGAATTTGCCTTCTCTGTCACAGTATCTTCCCTCTGGAATAGCCTCCCTGCTTCCCCAAGAGCCCTTTGTGGCTCCCTGATGACATTAGAAAAGTCACTAAAAACTTGGTTATTCTCCCAGGCTTTGGGACAAGCTGTTGGTTGAGTTTGTTTAATATAGAAAATTGGATATTGGATGCATGTAACCAATTCCTTTATTTTTTTTTGTATTGCTCTTCCTTTTTTAAAAAACAAACAAACAAACATGCAAATGTCCCAGAATCATTTGAAATAGGCAGCTTCTAAATTGTATAAATATATAAATAAATCAGTCAGTCCCTAGTCAAAATTTGCATGAAGATTGTATCAGGAAAGGCCTCTTCTTTCAGTTTCCTCATGTTCCTTAACTTAAGTTAATGTTGTTAACATATTGGTCTTTTTTTTTTTTTTTTTTTTTTGCTAATGACAATATACAGTACAGGGAATTGCTTGAAAGGCCAATAAGCATATTAAGAGAAGATGATCATCATCAGCAACTGCAGGGAGTGATCAAAAGAGGTGGGATGGCAGATGCAGTGTTATGATACAAGTTCTGCCCATCTTATGAATAACTTGAAGTAGTTATTATTACTGATATTGTATTTTATGTTTTTATTACACTATCTGTTGATGAACATACAAAAAGGAATGCCTTGCCTACCATCTTGCCTATTTCAACTCCCCTTCATCCCAAAGATCCTGCTGCCAATTGAGATTACAGGTCATTTTGCAACTTGCCTTGTTTAGCAACCACTCAGCTACGATGAGTATGAAAAAGTAACTTTATAAGCAATCCCTGCAGCCCTTGTAAAGCAAAGGAAAGCTGGAGTAAGATCATAAACATGGATTCATTTAGCGACTGCTTCACTCAACAACCAGGTTGGCGGTCCCAATTGTGATCCCTTAATGAAGACTACCTTTAAATATAGAATCTGTGTTCATCTTGTGACATTCTAGCTCTTCATTTCTACTGAAAAAACGAATACATTCATTTGAGATTTCTTTATATTTGCAGGCCATCAATAGTGGTAAACTTCAGGCTTACAACTATGGAAGGTTTGGAAATAAATTTCATTATGAACAGGTAAGGCTTTTTCCAGCAGATAGTTGTTTCAATATGGTACAATAATGATATGTATTGGACATTAGGTCAGCTTCTCCAAGCGTCTAGTTCCCGTGTGATTTTATGCTCTCCTTTCTGTTTGGAAGCTGAGTCAAGTTATTATTATGTAACCAGAATTGCATCAAAGGAGTTTCATCCCCAGTGCTTGAAGCTCAGTAGATCTACAGTATTGGGCTGTTTGAGAATAGCCTTATCCTGGCTTTTGGCTACTGCGCACACAACCAGCCTCATCCAGGAATTCAGCCATTGATGCAACCAAGAACAATTCCTCCTTCCCTCCCTCGCTCCCTTTTTCAGTCTCTGTGAAAATGCACATAAAGTGAACTAAAAACAGATAAGTGGAGAGGAAAAGTAAAAGTACTGGTTGGTTCACAAATTTTGGCACAATGAAATAGACCCCAGGTCAAATCCCAAGGGCTTTTCTTCATTGGCCCAACCCCAGTAACTCATGCCTTTGATTGAACATGTTCCATGTGAAGCTGCCTTTGAAGACAACTTGGAGGCTACAGCTGGTAGCCTGCCAGTTTAGAATGGCATCTCTATTGAATTCATAGCACTGAAAGTATTCTTCTGGGCCTGCTTCAGAGAGGTGGTGAAGGCCCTAAATTATATAGTACCAGGCTATCTCAGGCAAACCTTTGTCAGAACTGAATTTGCTTGGTTCAGTCATCGAGAACAAGCTACCTGCAAACTCCATCCCTCTGTGAGGTTTGTGGGGTGTGGGTTAGACTTCTTGTATTGACTGTTCCTTTTGAATATTCTCCTGTGTGAAGCCCCCTCCCCTCACTGCAATTCCATACACATGTTAGAGCAGTTTTATTCCAACATGCTTTTAGTCCTGGATGATTGACAGAATGTCTCTGTCACAGGTTTTCTCTGGACTTTTAATTTTTATCATACTGTTTTTAGGTAGCATTATTTTGTTTGATGTTGTCTATTGGCATTGGGGCATGTTATAAGTACTATAAAATGAATGAATGAAGGAAGGAATGAGCAAATGAATAAGTAGGTAAATAAATGCAATAGATACAATGGGAATGGCCTTAAGAAGTATGGATAGTTATAATATAAGGCAGGGGTGTCAAACTGCCAGCCCGTGGGCCAGTTGCATCATATAGAGGCCACACCCACCTCAGCTCCGGCAATGCAAAAAAAGTCGCGATACATTGTGACACGTCATGTGACGCAGCGAGTTTGACACCCATGATATAAGGTTTAAGACTGAAAGTGGATTATGCAAAATTGTACCTTGAAATTCTGCCTTATGCATGTATGCATCAGAAAACCAAATAGGCCTTAAGATAACAGACTTTCCCAAATGTCTTTAAGTATTGTTGCACACACACACACATGCACGCACGCACACACACAAACAAAACCATGCATTGAATTTGAATTTGGAAAAAGGTACCTTTCGCCATTTTGTACCCATCTGGAGCTTTTCAGAGTATACCTCCTTTATATATCATGAGTATCTTTAACATAAAACATAATCGACAGAAGGAAAATGGTGAAATATGAAGGTAGGTCAACCAGGAAAAGTCTTTTGAGACTCAGTAATATGGGTGGAAGCATTGCATCCTGAATTAAAATAAGAAAATGCTCCTTGGAAGGAATGTCAGTACATAGCATTCTACAGAACTCATTAATGAATACTCGAGAATTCAACTCCATTTTCTTTCTTTTACCTTTTTGCAAAGTTGGACACAATTTGGCTAATAATATCTTTGTCTGAGTCTGAGAAGTAGGACTATATCACATTTCCTTTTTCATTTTTTAAAAACAGGATTTGCCTCCTGAATACAATATATCAGCTATGACTGTACCAACAGCAATTTGGAATGGTGGAAATGATTGGCTTTCTGACCCTGATGATGTTAATCAATTAATCCCCCAAATTCAAAACCTTATTTCCCACAAATTTATTCCTCAATGGAACCATCTGGATTTTATGTATGGTATAGATGCACCTGATCAATTGTATTGTGAAATATTGGACTTACTACAGAGGAATCCTTGAGAAATGTTTGTCAGTAATGATAAGAAGTTCATTTGTTGTTTGTTTTCTATTGATTTTTCCATTTTTAATAAACTTTCAGATTACATACAAAATGAAAGACCATCCTGCGAATTCATACTCTTATCTCTATTAACTTGTTTTCTGTACATGTCAAGTCATCTAACTTGGATGCATAAATTATTCTATTTACACATTACTCAGAGTTTACTTCATCTTTACAATGGCTCCTAAACTACTTTTCTTTCAAACTCTGAGTGGGATGAATACACAGAAATCGTATCCCTAATGGAGAAAATGCAGTATAGCCAACCTTACAGCCGTGGTAGAATGCAGTGTTGCAGGTTACTTCTGCTGACTGCCAGCTGCCAGCAGTTCAGTAGTTCGATCATGACCACCTCAAGGTTGACTCAGCCTTCCATCCTTCCGAGGTTGGTAAAATAAGGACCCAGTTTGTTGGGGGCCATATGCTGAGTCTGTAAACCGCTTAGAGAGGGCTGTAAAGCCAGTATAAAAGTCTAAGTGCTATTGCTATTATTTACACATCTTGTCCTGTTTGTGTTGGAAGCACCTTTTAAGGTGCTTCTGGGCTGAAAGGATTAGCTGATGACATCACTGTTGCCTGCGGGATGCCTGGTTGGGGTTCCTTTCATGTGATTCCAAATAATATACTGTAACATTCCCAAATACTTAAAAGGTAAAACAAAACACGCTGATGCACTAGAACAGACTTCCCTGCCTTGATCACATGTGTTCGAGAGACTGCAATTCTTAGAACTAACATGGTTACCTACTAAACCCAATGAGAGCCAGTTTGGTCTAGTGGTTAAGGCACCAGGCTAGAAAGTAGGAGAGCATGAATTCAAGTCCTGCTTTAGCCATAAAAGCTAGCTGGTTGAACTTGGGCCAATCACTCTGTCCCAGCCCAGCCCACTTCACCGGTTGTTGTAGGGAAAATACGAGGAAGAAGCATTAGGCATGTTTGCTGCCTTGAGTTATTTGTAAAAATAATAAAGATGGGATACAAATAAATAACTGAAATTTAGTCAAGGAGATCTGAGTGGTCAGCCACAAAAATTAATATTTGGCCTATTGTTGCTCTTTTTCTCTTCTTTTGTCCTCTGTCTATAATTCTAAAGCTCTCTGAATAAGAGTAGAACGTGACATAAATTATATGATCCTGAAATTGTTTTCAAAGCAAATCAACTTAGAAAAAATGAACATTAATTCAACCATTACAAATTCACCTATTAAATTAACTATAATACAATTAAAACATTGTTAGAAGAATTCAAGAGACTATTTGTATCCGAATTGAATTGTATTGAATAAGAAGGAGACGTCATTGATTTCTGTTCTCAGGAAAATGGAGTGGCTCATACTGGTGAGGGACAAAGCAGAAAGTGCAGATATGCTGCCTTATACGTTACTATAATAAAAGGAACCTGTTTGATAGGGACGTCTTCCTATTGGATTGGGTTGGAAGACATCAGCCAACAGGGTGTAAATATGATCAAATAGCTGCTACACTCAGCAGATTGCTACAGCTGGAAAGTGTCTACGGTTTATAAAGGGAGGTTCTCAAACTTGTTAGTGAGAAGAAAACATACCATTTAGGAGAGGACATTGGTAACTGATCTGTATCTCATCAGGAATATTGTGTGCTGGGTTTGAAATGAGAAGAATGAAAGAAAAGAAAGCAACATTAATGTAAGTTCTATCTTTCATCATGCCAATCAAAACATGTTTTTCAAAATGCTTATTGATGAAATGGAATTTTCATATCTAAAATGATCCATGTCTAATGGATTAATGTTTGGATCTATGGCTGCTGGATGAATTTTGGGGAAGGATTTTATTTAATTACTGATATTTATCTCATGGAATTCCTTCTCCTCCCCTCCCATCCCAGTCTTTCCCAGTTTAACTTTAATCCATATTCATACAAGAGAATTATTCTGTATCAAAACATTTTGAATTTAATAACATTAAATATGAATTTAAAGATTAAATGAGACACATATAAATGTACATTTACCACGAATTTTTAAGAAATGTTATTTTAAATCTCACGTGGATAATTTGTCTTTGTTTTATTTTACATTTGAAGAAATAATGTACAAAGAAACAGATGTTTCTCTATAACTATGGCACAATATGGCACAATATAGAATTATGTCCTGCAATTTTCATTCAAGAAAATGATTCTCTTTGGAAAATAAAAAATTACACTTTGATAGTTTAGGACAAAGTGCTCTTTAGGCCAAAGACAGTTATGATAAAATATTTTTGATCACTTTTGGTAATATTGTAACTTTTGAATAGTTGCTACATTTTTTGATCAAATGCATTTGACTAATGCTGAGGTTAAAGCTATATGATTGTGCCTATATGATTTTTTAAAGTAGGTTTTAGTTTGAGTAGGAAATTCCTTCCTTCCTTCCTTCCTTCCTTCCTTCCTTCCTTCCTTCCTTCCTTCCTTCCTTCCTTCCTTTTTCTACTTTCTCTAGCTATCTCTGGTTTACATATTTAAGTTTTAAAGCTATTTTGAAAAAACTAAGATTATAATTCCAGTTAATATATATTTTAAATTTTGTTTTTATTTATTTTTAAAAGTGCCACCTTTATTACTGTTTATAAATGAATTTTATTACTTTATTACTGTTATTGTTATAAATAAATAAGTCAAGGAGGCAAACATAATACTTGTTCCTTTTATTGTCTCCACAACAACAGCCCTGGGCTGAGAGAAAGAATGTCTGGCTCAAAATCATCCAGCTGGTTTTCATGTCTAAGGCAGAACTAGAACTCATAGTCCTGATTTTAGCCTGGTGTCTTAACCTCCAGATTAAATGAACTAGGATATATAATTATCCATCAAAATAAGCAGAGCAAAGCAGCTGATTTGAAAATTTGGAAATCCTTTCAGAAAATCTAACCCATCACATAAAGAAAGAGAGATCTAATGATATAGTGCCAAGCTTTTTCCTGAGGCGCCATTTGCATATTGAAAAAAGAAATATATAATTGTTTAAAGACAGGTATCCCCAGTTTTTAATTACAGTAATCTTTATTTCACTGGAGGCAGTAAGTTAACATTAACAAGTGGATTAAATTCAAGTTTATTTTTCATTAATCCAGGCATGTCAAACTCGCAATGTCACATGACGTCACGTGACGTATTGCGACTTTTCCCCCATTGCTGGCACGGTTTTGCGGGCGCGATTTTGGCGTGACATATCTGGCCCACAGGACGGCAGTTTGACATGCCTGCATTAATTATAGAATCTGACCTTCATTTGCTACTGGAAAAAAATGAAAAAGATGAAGTTAGGAAGATTTATCATTAGGGAGCTTTCTGGAAGATTATTAGTGATTGTATCTGTTACGTATTGATGTGAATTACTTGAAAACTGTTTGAAACGGTCAAACAGTTGTGCCTGTTTAAACTCCAGACTGTCTGTCTACATGCTTGTTAGCTTGTGTTTAAGCGGAAAATACTGCTTTAATTCTATTGGCCGCCACCTAGTGGTGATATGTATAAATAGAGGTTAAGAGGCAGTTAGTGCTGCTTCTGTGTTAACTTAATAAATGGGTTGTTGTTTGCACCAATTGCCTCGTCAATGCCTCACCGATCTCGAAACATAACAGTATCTATATTTTTTGGGAATTAAAAGCTCACATAAATGTCAACATAAATCCCATCATTGAAAAAGTAGAAGTGGCTGATGCTGGGATAATCGGCAACAAACATTTTACAACGGTTGGCTTATTATGTTCTACACAAGAATTTGGTTTGAAACTCCTGTGCACCTTGTATGCTCAGGGTATAGAGTCATATCACAATGTTTGAGTCTTTCAAATTCATCCAGAGATGCCACATGAAGGAGACTCAAGGAGACTCAAGCTGGGTTCCTCCTGGCATTGGTAAAAAGAAACCTTCTTTCTTCTCAATGAAATTGACTGTAGTCTTCATGTTCTTCCAAACAAGAAGCAGTTGGACATCAAGTTGGGCAGCACAGAGCATCTTCATTTCCTTTCCCTCTATCAAGTGCACAGTGGAGAACAAGGGGGCTATTTAGGGTTCAGTGTATCCAATTAGCTCCATGCAATTTTGTCCCTGGAGTGATGTGTTATCTGAAAAGTTTCCTTTATCAGATTATTTTTACCAAATGCATTTTATGTCTTACACTGTACATCAATATGATTTTCTATATATAAAATGATTGCAGAACATTCTATATTTACAGTCTACCAATAATGCTGTAGTCATTATTATGCTTATATGTATACTTAATGATGTATATTTAAATTATGTTTCTTTATTTTCTCTCCCCTCTCTTGCAATATCTTAACTGAATTATATTTAAAGTCATGCCTATACTACAATGGATGATTGTTTTACATTTCATTCATTCATTCATTCATTCATTCATTCATTCATTTCCTGTTTTATCATTTTTTATAAATAACTCAAGGCAACACATCCAACACACCTTCCTCCTTCTATTTGCCCAGCAATAACAACCCTGTGAGGTGAGTTGGGCTGAGAGAGAATGTAAGTGGCTCAAAGTCACCCAATTTGCTTTCATGGCTAAGGTGGGACTTGAATTCACAGTTTTTGCTTTCTAGCTTGGTGCCTTACCCACTAGACCAACTGGCCCTCTCATTATATGTTCTGATTGTGTGAGTATCCATAAATCTGCTTAATAGATACATATCTTCCTCCATTGGTAATTACTCCATTGTTCTATAGATGTTTCACCATGTGGATGCTGATGGCTATGATAACCACACAAGGAATTTTGAATTCAGAAGAGGTGAATGGCAAAACATTTATGAATCCTGAATCATTTATGAATATAGTAAGTTGAGCTCTTAGAATATTAATCAGTACCCATCCTACCCATCCTGCTCCTACTCCCCTGTCTTAAACATTGTCCTTGTCAAGTTCGAAGCATGTTTATGCTGTTGCGACCATTATTGCTTCTCTGCTTGCCAACATTCTTGGAGGGAGGGAAGGGGAAACTGGAATGCAGGCTCCAGATATCAAGAAGTCAGCCCGTGGGAACCAAGGACACTTCACTAAGTGTCTGCCTAATCCCAAGACATGTTCTCATAACAATATTGTAA